CAGTATAATCGCCTGTCACAACAGCTGTGGGAATCATCGGTATAATCGTCTGTCACAACAGCAGTGGGAATCATCAATATAATCGTCTGTCACAACCTCTGTTGTGGGAATCATTGGTATAATCGTCTGTCACAACAGCAGTGGGAATCATCAGCGTCAGATGTGGGAATCATTGGTATAATCGTCTGTCACAACGTCAGATGTGGGAATCATTGGTGTAATCGTCTGTCACAACGTCAGATGTGGGAATCATTGGTATAATCGTCTGTCACAACGTCAGATGTGGGAATCATTGGTATAATCGTCTGTCACAACAGCAGTGGGAATCATCAGCGTCAGATGTGGGAATCATTGGTATAATCGTCTGTCACAACAGATGTGGGAATCATTGGTGTAATCGTCTGTCACAACAGCTGTGGGAATCATTGGTATAATCGTCTGTCACAACAGCTGTGGGAATCATTGGTATAATCGTCTGTCACAACGTCAGCTGTGGGAATCATTGGTATAATCGTCTGTCACAACGTCAGATGTGGGAATCATTGGTATAATCGTCTGTCACAACGTCAGATGTGGGAATCATTGGTATAATCGTCTGTCACAACAGCTGTGGGAATCATTGGTGTAATCGTCTGTCACAACAGCTGTGGGAATCATCAGTATAATCGTCTGTCACAACAGCTGTGGGAATCATCAGTGTAATCGTCTGTCACAACAGCTGTGGGAATCATTGGTATAATCGTCTGTCACAACAGCTGTGGAAATCATTGGTATAATCGTCTGTCACAACAGCTGTGGGAATCATCAGTATAATCGTCTGTCACAACAACAGCTGTCACAACAGGTGGGAATCATCTGTATAAATCGTCTGTCACAACAGCTGTGGGAATCATCAGTATAATCGTCTGTCACAACAGATGTAGCATTGGTGTAATCGTTTGTCACAACAGCTGTGGGAATGATTGGTAAAATCGTCTGTCACAACAGCTGTGGGTATCATCAGTATAATCGTCTGTCACAACAGCTGTGGGAATCATTGGTATAATCGTCTGTCACAACAGCTGTGGGAATCATTGGTATAATCGTCTGTCACAACAGCTGTGGGAATCATTGGTATAATCGTCTGTCACAACAGCTGTGGGAATCATTGGTGTAATCGTCTGTCACAACAGCTGTGGGAATCATTGGTATAATCGTCTGTCACAACAGCTGTGGGAATCATTGGTGTAATCGTCTGTCACAACAGCTGTGGGAATCATTGGTATACTCGTCTGTCACAACAGCTGTGGGAATCATTGAGTATAATCGTCTGTCACAACAGCTGTGGAAATCATCAGTATAATCGTCTGTCACAACAGCTGTGGGAATCATCAGTATAATCGTCTGTCACAACAGCTGTGGGAATCATCAGTATAATCGTCTGTCACAACAGTATTCGGAATCAATGACATAATCTTCGTTTACAACATCAGAATCAGAATCAATGGTAAAATCGTGTTCCACGTCAACAAGGGAGATCATTTCTGCCACATTCAATCAACAACACCTAAGGATTCAATCCTGGAAGTTGAAATCGAATCCTAGTGACGTATACGTTTATAGCTTTCGCTAAACTGTTGTAAACATGTGTCAACTGCAGCAGTAGTAGTCCACATGTCTGACTGGTGGCCTCCAGAGATCCTGCCAGAACATGAGCAATATATCACAGCCCTCAGATTGACTGAGATTGTGTTGGTGATGGAGAGCGCTATCACTTCATGTTGAAGTCTGATGGGAAATCGACAAGCTCCTGGGGCGGACATGCAAGCACTTGTCGCTCCTCAAACATAATCGTTAGTGCCAGCTTGGTACTTGAAAGAAATTGGACACAGATGAAGCCTTTATATTAATTGACAGGTTCGACGTTTGTTTTAGTTTAGGTGGCGCTTGAATAACTAACACGCTAAGGAATTTGAGTATATGTCAAAGAATGCATGAATCATGATTACTCTCGATTACTCTACAAAACCTGGTCAGTGTTGTGATGGAAATGTGGAATAATAAATAATAATTTGCGTACTTATATTGCGCTAATTTCCATAAACAAGGATTATGCTCAAAGCCCTAACACTATTACTCCGGTCAACAGATCAGAGTTCACTACAACCCAGGCTGCCTGTGAGGCGCTAGAAGGTTGACAGTTGTATGACATCTCATCTCACCAAGTACCCATTCACTGCTCAGTGAACAGATGCAATTTTGAACAAAGTCACTTTTTTAAGGCGAGACCACGTGTATTACACGTGTTGCTTCGTTGTATGACAGGACTGAAGTCCTAGAAATCTTGCTTATATATAGGTGCTTAGTCAACCAACTGATTGCGAACATCTATGTATGTAAATTGTACAAACATCGTGGTATCCGTATAAAAAGTCGAATGATATATCGTTCATCGTCAAATCACGAAACACATGCAGAAACGTGTAGCAACACAAAAATTGTCATTGACATCAACCATTGTCTCTTGATTACTTTGATGCAACCTACCGCAGCGAAAGCGTTTTAGATTTTGAGCAATGCATGGGCCTTACTCTATTACTTTCAGTCATCCCAGGTATCACAAAACTTGCTTAAATCCTGATCAATAACAGTATGGGCGGCAAATATTTAATGGCACGTCAAGATAAGAATACATCTCAGTCTGCGATAGGTTATAGACACTGTAAGAACCGGGACAATGTACCAATGGCCAACAATTACAAACTATTCACACTTTGAATTGTTCTTGTCTGTTAATCATGTGTTAAATTAATAGACCGACAAATGATTAATTACGAGTTAAATTGATACACCAAGTAATGAGGAACAAGGCATCAATTTGAATCTCCAGACAGTTGCGGCATTAAGTGATTACAATTTTAGGCATTACTCCAAAATCGTCTGAGCCCGGTTTGTGAAAGTCAAATGTTAACGACACCGTGCAGACATACCGAAATACGCTGAACTCGTCAGAAGATAGTATTCTGCAAGTGCATCCACAGTTAAGGTCCGCAGTGAAATAGATAGGTTCTAATGTGTTCAGTTATCACAAAGTGTGCTTTACAGCACTCTGAAACAAAACTACAGCATATGCACGGTTTCAAATTGAAGCTGCAGATGAAGGAACTAACATCTTCGGCTTAAATGGACAGAAAGTCTCCTTAATCTGAAAATTATCCCGTCCTATTTTGACAAATGTGCAACAACATGAAGATAAGCTAATGATAGTTATGTTACATCCGAGTGAGTGAGTGAGTTGGGTTTAAAGCCGTTTTAAGTGTCCCATCGTGTCAGCTTGATGTGGATGGAAAGCCTGAAGTCCTGACTGACTGACTGACTGAGTTTGGTTTTACGCCGCTTTTAGCAATATTCCAGCAACATCACGGCGGGGAACACCAGAAATGGGCTTCACACAATGTACCCATGTGGGGATTCGAACCCGGGTCTTCGGCGTGACGAGCCAACGCTTTAACCACTCGGCTACCCCACCGCCCCTGAAGTCCTGAAGGTCTAAGACGTGTACCTGTTGTTTGTGAGTGGTGGAATGCTGTCAACCCCTTGTCTGCAACTTTCCATGTTGCTGCTGGTTAACAAGACCAAAGTCCCACGACCTTGAACAACCATAACACACATCAACCAAGTAACCGATTATGAAAAGCAGGTCCATCACTTTCATTGGAAGTGGGTACTCTGGATCGGTAACCCCACCATGTCAATGGTTGGAAACACCAATATATACTGAGGGAAACAAATAAGGGAACACCAGTTCGTGGCAGTGTTCCTTCATGTATTCTCAGATTTCCTCCCACAGCCCTTTTCAAAGCTGGTGATGAAAACAGGAAATTATTAAAGGATCACTTGAATTTTCCTGTGTTTCTTTATTTGTTTGTTCGGTTTAATGTCAGTTGGAACAATTCCCTTTCAATCACAGCTCTCAGGTTACTAGGGAAGGTTTGTGATTACACATGGTGTTCGCAAAAGGATTAGCATGTCCTTTCTAGGGTATCATCCCTCACTCACACAATATGGATGATATGGTGAGGGCTTCTTGGTTGTTTAACACATTTTACATGTCATTTCTTCAGAGAAGACCCATATGAAGGGATCATTCGGGTTAAACTTGGTTCTTTATATCTTTCTGTAAGTTTGTAAAATCTGAATCCAAAATAATACATATCTTATGTAAACAGATAGGATTAAAAAGTGGGGAATATTGAATTTGGGGTGATAATATGTCTGTACCAAGTTGTAATGATTGAACATGGATCCACAAAATGATTATTCCATTCACAATATTCAATTTGGGGTGATAATATTTCTGTACCAAGTTGTATGATTGCATGTGGACCTAGAAAATGATTATTCCATTCACAACATGATTTGAATTTTGTGCAAACAGCCAATTTTGTGCATGATGTGCACATGAACATGGCTGGGTCAAAGGGAGGTGGATTCACATGACATTACTGTGATTTTTCATGGTAAATCATGCCATGGACAGTTGGCCAATCATCTCACAAAATCTATTGTCATTTGACATTCAACGACTAATGCAAATCTCAGTCAGATGTCTCTGTTATATCAGTGTAGGAAAGATGTAGAAAATCTAGCCTGTCCACAGGACTGGCAGGTCAAATTTTTTACCAGTCCTGCCAAAATCTAGCCTGTCCTCTAAATATAAATAAAACACCTTCGGCAGTAAATATTCAAAAAGGTTATAATCATTATATATATATATGTCATTGGTTTGCTAAAATTGACCCGACATGAGGGCGGACTAGATATTTTTTTAACCCGTCCTCCACAAAATTCATCCGTCTCGGACGTTGGGACGGGCTATCTTTCCTACACTGGTTATACCCTTAACCTATTTATCTTATTAAAGATATAGATACAAAATATCAATAGCTGTGAAACCTTCTTAATAAATTTGCCCTTCTTTTTGTAACTGGTATACACTATGAAAAATGAAGGTCAAACAGTGTTCTTCCATTTTGTTTATTTCAACATTCCACACTACTCAGTCACACAGTATGTACAACATGCTCCTCACACAGGGTCAGTGGGCTATGACACCAGGTGTTCGTGTACTGTAACACCAAGTGTCACTTCTCTTCTCTTCTTTTGTCCAGGTCGCCAGGAGTGATTTCATATTCAGGGTATGTTGGAAACTTCTCTGAAAACAAAAGCAAGTTCATAAGATACAAGTGCAGCACATCCTTAAAGGCTTTTGTCATTACTAAGTTCCACATGCATCCACAAGTTTGAGAAACAGGGAATAAATGTTTGAAATGTTAGTAATAAATAATAATGTAGATCATTTGTAATGTGGTTGACTCCACAACACTTGGCCATGCTTTATGCGCAAACACAAGACAGACAGTAGCGACTGATGTTTACGACCTTTTTTAATATTTTCCAGTCAAGACAATCAGGACAATTGGGGAAAGCAATTATCCTTTCGACTTGACATTTCTACAGTTTTCTGCCAACTTGTACTTTCTGACTTTCCACAGAGAAACAACACACTTAATGTGTTGCTTTAAGAGGTGGAATACATTTTTCTTAACAGGTTTGAAAAAAATTGATAATCATGAAACTAATATTGTTACATAAAAATGAGGGGCTAATTAGCTCTTGCTTAAGGATGTTCATTTAATTTCTAGTACAAAACAATTTTGTCTTGCGTGATATTTTGACAGTTAATAATCATGCTAATCATCTAATTTGAGTTAGTTAGGATGTTGTGTTTCTTTCAAACAAATAACTAATTTGTTGTAGCGAAATCACCCCATGAAGAGGACACTCATGGGATTGGGTGGTCAAGATTAATTGATTTGTTTGGTGCATGATTGTAGTATCAATCACTGAATTGTCTGGTCCAAACCTAATTATTTGCCATATAGCTGGAATACTGCACTAGACTACCAACAATCTCTCAAACTGCAGTAAGACTTCATGCCACACGTCAGACTTACTCCTACTGCTGCCTTCATCTGGGTTCACATCAGATGTGTACGAGGCCCCAGCCTCCTCTCTCTTGGACGAAGAGCTACCCTCCTGAGAGGAAACAGAAACATGGACATAAATCAGTACTTTTCATAATTTTAAATTATATTGTACAGTAATATTTATCTTCAAAACAGTGTGTGTTGCTGACTGTAAAAGTCCAACAGTGAGCTGACCATTCTTTGATTTATCCCTTTAGTGTTGAATACGATCAACAAGTACCACCCATAAATGGATCAAATTACTGGCTCTCTGCTCTGTGGGATGATGCTCTATCCACCAGACAACAGACTTGGTGTTAAGTTTGGAACCATATGCATGTTTCTTGATAATAATATAGATCATTTGTAATGCGCTTGACTCGACAACACTTGGCCATACTCTAAGCACAAACACAAGACAGTCAGTAGCGAAGAAAAAGAAATGTCTTTAGATGAGATTTAAAACTTGAGAGAGTTGGAGCAGATTTAATGTCTGTAGGGAGAGAGTTCCACAGGAAAGCAGCTGAATGTTTGAAGGATCTATGTCCGAAAGTTTTGAGTTTATATGGAGGCACAACAAGAAGTGATTGATTGGCAGTTCTGAGGTTCCTCGGTGGGACTTGGTAGGTAAGAGTTAAAATCTTAAACTCTATTCTTTCTCTGATTCTTGACTAGTGAAAGGACTTCAATGCAGGCTGGATATGACTTGTTAGTTTTGTGCGTGTGATAATCCTGGCGGCGGTGTTCTGCAGCTTCTGCAGTCTGTGAAGTTGGTCGTTGGTAATACCAATCAAGAGACTATTGCAGTAGTCTAACCGCGACAATACTAGGGTTCTCATCAGTGTAGCTGTGGTGTTTCTGGTGAGGAGGTGACGGATAGAACCAATGTTCCTCAGGTGGTGGTGGCAGATCTTTGATAGGTGGTTAATATGCTGTTCCATGGATAGATTCTCGTCTAAAAACACACCTAGGTTTTTAACACTATGAGAAACAGGAATTTCTACATCATCGATCTGGAGATGATCGATACCACACATTTCTGCAATCTGGATTTAGAAGCAATAATCATGAGTTCTGTTTTTGCGCTATTTAGCTGTAGCATGTTCTTAGACATCCAGTATTTAACATCTTTCACACACGACTCCATCCTGGCACAGACCTCAGTCTGACTGAGGGTCACTGGTGAAGTTATCCATGAGCTGAGTGTCATCAGCATAAAAATGATGGGCAATATGCTGGTCACTGATGAGAGTCCCGAGTGGTTTGGTATAAAGGGTGGACAGGAGTGGCCCAAGGACAGAGCCTTGGGGTACTCCACACTTCAATATAGTAGCAGGTGACATGGTGTTCTGTACACATACAGACTGGGTTCTGTCCTGTAGATAGGAAACACACCACTTGAGGGCAGTCCCGTGGATACCGTAATCCTTTTCCAACCGATCTGTCAGAAGTTGATGATCCACAGTATCAAAGGTGGAAGACAAATCTAAAAGAACAAGCATTCCAAAGTTACCATCATCTACAGACCATTTCAAGTTATCCACAACACAGTTGAGTGCCGTCTCTGTGCTATGGGATGACCTGTAGGCAGACTGGAACTGGTCCATCAGTCCATGTTCAGTCAGATGCACCTCAATCTGACGTTTTACTATCTTCTCCAGAATTTTGGATAGGAATGGAAGGTTCGATATTGGTCTGTAGCTTTGAAGCAGTTGAGAATCAAGTCCAGCAAACACTCACTTCCCTCTCCTCAAGAACCATATCCATGTTTCTTGATCTAGCAAACACTCACTTCCCTCTATTCCAGAACCATATCCGTGTTTCTTGATCTAGCAAACACTCACCTCTCTCTACTCCAGAACTATATCCGTGTTTCTTGATCCAGCAAACACTCACCTCCCTCTATTCCAGAACCATATCCGTGTTTCTTGATCCTGCTAACACTCACCTCCTTCTCCTCCAGTTCCTTGGCTCGGTGTATCGTTCTCATCATCAGCGCATAGTTACGATCTATTTCCTGTAACATACACAGCATCCACATCACACCAACACACAGTCTATCCTTCAGAGATTTCGTGACAGTATGTATCCTTCATGTATTTATCACCACAAGCAATTTATTCTAATTACAAACAAATAATTCCTCATTGTTCAACATGTAAATATCACTGTTATAAATTTTGCAGACTTTGTATGGAGTTGTATGATCTTATAATCCAGAGATAACGTTGTCTAGGATGTTCTGTCATTGTGCTGTACCTCCTGTGTCGGTGGCTGTTTCCTCCTCCCCCTCAACCAGGCTGCAACACAAACAGTTCATCAACTTTACACATGAGAAAACCTCAAATCACACAATGGTATCACACAATAGTATCACACAATGGTATCGTCATCAGGTGGTTATGCATACAGACAATAACCCACTGGAAACATCCTGTTGAATATGTCAACAGCAACCCAAGCCTGTTGTAAGAGATGAGTCAGCAATTTGGATGGTCAGACCCAGTGACTTGGTTCATCCATGTCATCTTATCACAATTACGAAAATCAATGCTCATCATTATCTGGTTTAGATCATATAAAGCCTGCTGTCACATGGCTGAAAACGTGCTGCTGGCTGAATGAAATGACAGACACGAGCCAGAGACATGCAGTACACATGAGTCTGGTTCATAACTTGCACAAACCTGGAAACTGCTTTCCTCAGAGAAAATGCAACATGATCACACACATGGACACACTGTCATCAGCCATTACTGTAAAGAACTGTCACAGTATAGGCTGAAATAATCTCTTCACAAATCTTAGTTGCCTTGGATCATTTTTTCTGTATAATTTTTCCTCTATTTCAGAAGAGTTCCAGTACATATTGATATAATTATTTGAGCCAATGTTCAAAAGCACTTTAACTGTCAACCCTGGTACCCTAAAAATGTTACAGTATGTCTATCAACTACACTACCATTCCATTCAGTGGGCACATCTGGAACTGACCACTGGTCACCATCAGCTGGTTCCACCCAGCGACTTCCTCTCAAGTTGTGGGATTTATCTGAAATTCAAATCAAACAGGATCTTGATGTATTACAGGTATTTGCTGGGACAGAGTTTCTTTTAAAAGAACTATATGCAAAGAACACTATTAAAAATTTTCACAGACAGAATTTTGAACATAGAAAATACATGTATACATTCAGAAATGCAGCACTTATTAGCACTAGAGTGGAGTCGAGAGATAGAGAGAGAGAGAGAGAGAGAGAGAGAGAGAGAGGAGAGAGAGAGATGAGAGAGGGAGAGAGAGAGAGGGAGGGAGAGAGAGGAGAGAGGGAGAGAGAGAGAGAGAGAGGGAGAGGGAGAGAGAGAGAGAGAGAGAGAGGAGGGAGGAGAGAGAGAGAGGAGAGAGGAGATGAGAGAGAGGGAGAGAGAGAGAGAGAGAGAGAGGATAGAGAGGAGAGGGAGAGAGAGAGAGAGAGGAGAGAGAGAGAGAGAGAGAGAGGAGAGAGAGAGAGAGGAGAGAGAGAGGGAGGAGAGAGAGAGAGAGAGAGGAGGGAGAGAGATGAGAGAGAGGAGGGAGAGAGAGAGGAGAGAGGAGAGAGAGAGAGAGAGAGAGAGAGAGGGAGAGAGAGAGAGAGAGAGAGAGAGAGAGAGAGGGAGAGAGAGGAGAGAGAGAGAGAGAGAGAGAGAGGAGAGAGAGGAGGGAGAGAGAGGAAGGAGGGAGAGAGAGAGAGAGAGAGAGAGAGAGAGAGAGAGGGAGGGAGAGAGAGATGAGAGAGAGAGAGAGAGATGAAGGACAGTCATGATGTCATTTGCATTTGACATGATTGACAGTCATCATCTGACTCATCAAATGAAAAACGTCATGTATGGTATTAGCTAAAATGCTAGTATAGAGAACTGCTTGTAACAAATGGGAACATATATCACATCTTAAAATCACATCTTTACAAACATGTAACATCTTTTTCTGAAGTGCTGACACTTACTGGTCCAGGTGTATCAGAACATTACCTCTGTCTGGGCCAAGGGAGGCAACTGTTCTTTTGCCCTCTAACTTGACAAAATGATATAGCAGGGTTTATGTCTGTACTACAAAAATAACGTACCCTAAAAGGCGAATCTGTATCCATTGAAAATATGTTTCAATTGTGATCATCTTCTAACCTGCATTAATGAATGGATGAAATTATGGGGGTGACGAGAAATCGAGTTCGCCATATTCGTTGGGTAGTATCCCACCTAAACTGATAAATAATGGTATTAGCTCTGTGTTGTACAGGCTATTCGACATGCCTGTGTCACCAGAGTGTAATAACTTGTGGTCATGTTCCAACAGTGTACTCACTTTGACATTGCATGATTGACGTAATTATTATTAGATACATGTTCGCGACTCTGCAACTATTCTAAGATCTTACCGTCTTCCTTCTCAAAATATCTGTTCCCAATGTGATCAGTCCCTACCAATTTAGTTGTAAGTTTTGGTGCACTGAGAGAATTTCTAAAATTTTGTATGATGTTGGCAATAATTCCTCCCCGGCGTGACATTTGTTTTGGTAGAAACGTGCCGTCCGTAAAATCCGGGTCCTGGGTCGATGCACAATCCGTAGTTGGAGTAACACACATTTTGGTTGGTCATGTTATTGATGAATGAACCAATCAAATAACCCGTTACCGATGCGATGCATATTTAGCCAAGATGGCGGACGGTGGTGGCAAACGCGATGGTACCGAAGCGAAGAAAAGGGAAACAGTGAATAAATTTGCGAACGATGGCAGTTTCTTGGAAATGTTTAAGAAGAAAATGGAAGAGAGTAAAGTTCTTAGTGACAAGCCAGTGACTGGTTCCGATAAAGAGGATTCTTCGGCTCAAGCATCTTCTGCCGAAATAGACAGTGGAAAAAACAGCAAAACGAACATTTTGTCTATTGTAAGATTTCAGAAATTTGTGCGTTGTGCATAGCCTGAAATAATATTAAGGAGATTGATATTCCATTAAATGTATGTTATTTGATTCATTCTACATGTCATATTTTGATTTCAAAGATATGTTACAACTGAGAATACATCGTCTGATTAAGGTGCAGCATAGACCTAGACCAGAGGCCAAATAGCATAAATAAGTACAACTTGAATGCTGGCTGGTTTCCAGCATTCCAACATGCAGAAATAGTGCCATGACTTAGTTGTGTTGTGTGGAATTTGTGTTCAAATCCCAGATTACCCAGGTTATAAACCTTGACAGCTTCATAGACATGTTCTGTGTTTCATCAAAGTGGATATGTCAATAATCTGCATCAGTTTGAGCTTTACTTATCCATTGAGCTGACAAGCCTTGATTTAAATGAAATATTGCTGAAAGTGCATAACTCACTCTTACAGAAAAACAAAACATTCTGAATAATTATAATAATTTCACACCAAAACAATGTGACTGGATAAAAAAATAAACTTGCATTTTGGTGTTTCTTGGTCACCTTTCAACCAAATATTCCTTTCCTTGCAATCCCATTGGAAAAAACATCTGTTCAACATGTTTTTTCTCATATTAAATGTAATAGATAGTGTCTGAAGTTTTATTTTCATCTAAGATGTAATGAGAAAGGTGTCATCATTTTCGACCAGTGTTGTTATAACAATATTACCTTGTTGGCATATTTGACATAGGAAAACATTGGCTATCAGTATCAGTCTTGAATACTGAGCTGCATTGTGATAAACACAGTGCCAGCCTCCTTTATATTTGTGACCTATTGGAAAATATATGGCAAGGTAATATAAAAGAGAAGTAATTGTAAGTGAAAAGTAACAAGAGATTATTACCATTACCAGCAATAACTGAAAAATGTTAAGTATTTTCCGCTCTGTTCCTTATTTATGTGTTTGACATGACAGGGACTGCAGTTTAAGGAATATCAGCTGACCATGTGGATAGCTATTCACATGAAGATAATTTGACACAGTACAATCATTTGTGACATGAATGCATTAAGTCTGTTTGCCTGAACATAAAACTTGGGGAAGTGAATATATGGAAACATATTAAATATTATATACTAATTGGTGTCAGTACTATATCTTGGATAAAGGTATATGAAAGGTATTGTACCTGGGAGCTGGAATACCATGGTTCTCCATCATCGTGTCAGCTGTAAAGCCATTGTCTCATGTTGTTAGTGGTTCTGTCTCCCCAGGTCGGGAAACGGCGTGGTGGCAGCACCAAGGTCCTCAAGACGGGTATGGTAAAGAAGCCAAAACAGGAAGAGGATGTATGTATTTGTGTTCAGAAAACTGTAACAGCCTTAAGCTTTCTTATCATCATGTGTCCATGGGTACAAGCTCTACTTAGAACTCTCTTTAGAACTCTCTTTCGATTAATGCTTTTTCATGTTGGGTGTTTCTTCTATCATTTCTGTCTTGCATGAGAACACACCAACATGTTTTTGCATAACTACAAAGTTGAGCATTTGTATTTGTTATTTTTCCCAAGTGATCAATAATTATGGTACTGTAGGGATGAAAGTATTACCTAAATCTGTTGCTCATAAAGCTAAACCATGTAGGAATGGTTCCTTAACTCCTTGTGAATTATCCTAATGTAATACATATTTTAACTTATTTTCAGGAGAGCAGTGGCGAGCCTAAAGATGGATGGTCAAAGTATCTAGCTGAAGTCAATAAATACAAATCTCAGATGTGCACAGATGAGGACAAAACAAGACCACTAGTCAAATAATAATAAATATGCATATCATTGTCATCCTAACCGAGTTTTGCCTGACTTTCACGTAGCAATGGATAATGGCACATTCTATATTTTCCTCTTTAAGAAATCACTCTCTTTTCAGTAAAAGATATCTAATTTTTTCTCACCAGTTAGGTTTTGGTTTCACCAACAAGTCACTGGTGCGATCATAACATTCATATATGGTGTTATTTACAACAGCACCTGCTTAAGCACATTCCTAAGGAGGGAGGGTGGATGTTACATCAGAACATTATGTAACCGTGTCAGTACAGGGCAATGAATATGAATATGTAGAAGACAAGTAGAGAACACAAACACAACTAAGGTAAGCTCAGAAGGTTGAGCCATGACTTTGTATAACAAGTCAGTGCATTAGTTCTTAATCAGGTTTTCTAGGTCCTCATTATGCTGATGTGAAGCACTGAAAATGATGCAAATGTCCCCGAACAAAATCCGTTGTGATTTCCATAACTGTCCTCCCAAAACAGTCCAGTGTGTTATCTTTATCTGCAGTAAACTATGTATACAACGAACACGCTTATAATGAAACAACAGATAAAATACTTTTATTTTTTACCATGGCCATTTGCTGACATATTTCAGTTGAAATGCGTATAAGGAACTAAAGTTAGTGTTCTCTTCGTGGTCGTTATGACCACAGTTTAGTGTATTAGTAGTCCATGCGTTAACACTATGTTCTGCTGAAAATGGTGCCTGAATGTAATGTTGACATAAAAAAACTTATTTTGCCATTGTGTAGTATAATCTGTGGACCAAATATGTCTTGTGAAAATCATTTGTTATATGCTGGTATAATGTCCAGAAAGATGCTGAGTATTGTTGTATTTTGTTGCTCAGATATCAAACATTGATTTGATGCAGGCCAAAATGAATTAGGTTTAATTTATATATATATATACATGAATGGTTTTGCAAATGTACATGTGGAGATGTATTTGTGATTTGTGTTGAAGTATGGTATTTTAATCAATAGATTTCTGATCCTGCTGACGAATCTGTGTGAGTCATGTACAGCTAGATTTCTACATGCGCTGAAACTGAATTTAAATTCACTCCAGATGCTGAAATGTATTCATCCTATTTTCGACAATGAAATATTAACCTTCAGCCAAAGGTTGACTGTTGACATGTACCTGGACAGCTGCACTACCTACCTCATTGTGGCAACGTCACTTGTCCGCTGGGCATTCACTTCAATTCCCACTTCACCTATTCCTCAGCTCGGTGCTGTACTTAAAACTAAGTTTCAGGGATGGTTCTTAAACATTACCTTCAAATGATATTAACATGTCATCATCAATTGTGAAAATTGTCCATTTTCGAGCAAATGAAACAATGTCAGATTTACTTTTGAAGTTGCTATGAATGAAGCAATAAGTTTGTGTGTTTATTTCTTGTTCCTGATTATACATTTCCAACTTGGACGGACATATTTGCTGTATCCCTCTGTATGTGTTGATTGTCATGTCGTCTTAAACCATCACTGCTGACCACTTACTTCCCAGACAGAACACAGATAAATGTTGTGAATGCTACAGTCTAAGTAAACTTAGGCTCAGTATTATTTGTTACACTGCTATACTGAGTCTTACCCTAGTAGAAGGCCGTGTCAGTTGACCTTTGGAATTGACCAGTCAGAACACAGCTTACCAAATCACGAAAGTTAACATTCTCACTTAACGTTTGTACTCGAACAATTCCAAATGCTGTTTTCCGCACGATCACTTCCGAGTGATACACACGGAGGACACCATTATTCACAACACTGAGTAAACAGTGGCTGAAAATAGCATTTTGGTCAATATTCCAGGATGTCATCTTGCGGAAATATAAGCTAATAGTAACCATGTCATCAGAAAACCCTGAGCGTATGTACTGCAGGTCAAATATCTGTGTTTTATGCAGATTTTCATTTGTTGTGAGATCAGTGTCGGCGACATGGGAAGAGAAAATCCAAAAACATTTTTTTAAGTCTTGCCAAACCCTAAATAGTAGCCGCATTAGTTAAAATCCACTCAGCCGTTCGCTTTGATTGGACGGTCATAGGTGCCAAGGTTACTGACACGACCTTCTACTAGGGTTTGTTAGACTCAGTATAGCAGTGTAACGAATAACACTGAGCCCAAGTTTACATAGACTGGTGTGTGCCACTCCATGCACCTTCCTATAAAATTTCATTGCTAGATATATTTACTGATAATTATGTCCTGAAGAAGAAAAGAATTGCTACTGAAGTTAATGTTCTTGTCAGTTGAGCATCCTTGATAATCCAGTGTATAATATATTAGTGTCAAGAAGTTATATAGCACCCACAATTGGGAGGCTGTTTGATTCAATGCCCACCACACAGGTGGGTTCCCTATAGTTGTGTGGAAAAGTTAGGTGTTCTTCAACTTGCTTTCAGTAGGAGATCATGTTATGGTATTTCTACCCTAAATTTACAGTTTTGTTTTGAGCCTGCTTAAAATGACACAAGGGGCGGTGGAGTAGCCTAGTGGTTAAAGCATTTATTTATCATGTCGATAACCCGGGTTCGATTCCCCACATGGGTACAATGTGTGAAGCCCATTTATGGTGTCCCCCGCTGTGATATTGCTGGAATATTGCTAAAAGCGGCCTAAACCATACTCACTCAAATGACACAAAACTAAACATATATTAACTGACTGAATCAGTCCTGTGACTGAACTCCATCACTTCAGTGTCTTAGAGGGACATTATTCTAAATGTTGGTTTTTTGCTGTTGATTTCAAGGTTACAAGTGAGAGAGAGTGTGTGCCAAAAGAAGAGGAAGCCATCAGTTGAAAACCATAAAATGTCTGGATATTCATGCTAGTATACTGTTGATAATATTATACACTGGATAATCCATGCTGGTGCTGTAGGTGTTGTCAAGTTCATGATGTTGTGGTCACTTGTTATGTGGGGCTACACGAGTACTGTCGAAAGGTGTGTGAATGTTTGTGTGTGTGAAAGATACCTTACCTGTGCTGAGTCTATTGGTAAAGTTGTACTTTTGACATTGATACAAGTGAACACCATTCAGGTGTGAACAGATTACCTCAGTACAGACTGGAAGTGCTTTACATGTACCAGTGTTAACTACCTTGCTCTGCATAAAGCCAGACTTAAATGACACTTTGAAATTCACTTGGCAGTCAAGTTTAAGGAAATTTGTCACTCAACTTGAAAAGTTAACATTCTCAGATTGAGGTGGTGGCGCTATTTCTTACACCACAATTAATCATTCATAATAGGAAAATATTGGAAATAAATATGATGGATATTGTACATGGTTTTCTGTTGATATTTTATGCCATGTCTCAAAGCACTTAAAGTCATCTGTCCACGAGTAGCAGCACCATTTCATTCCTGTACGGGTTTCAGGTTGGAATCTGTAATTAAGAAACCACAACCTATGGATTATTGTGCAATATGAAGCCCTGTCTTGTCCTGACCTGGAGGGGTTGTGTTTCAGATCCAGTGACCGGGCTGATGATTTGGTTGTTAATCATTCCCTTATAACATGGAACTTCAGTAACATGTCTTCCACAGTTTGGCTTGGCCCAGACATGATTATGAAGTTGCCTTGATATTGAGGAAAAACATATATCACTCGTCTCCCTTGAAACTACTGAAGGACCATTACAGTGCAAACTTTATGAAGATTTTTTTTTTTTTTTTAAACTCATGTGGCTATGCTAACTTAAAGAGTGGACACCTTCATCATGGTTCTGAAGTTCTCTACCCATAATGGTCCGGGTTAGAATGAACCTTCAGTAATCCATGCTTATCGTAAGAGGCGACTAACGGGATTGGGTGGTGGGACTCGCTGGCTTGGTTAACATGTCATCAGTTCCCAATTGCGCAGATCGATGCTCATGCTGTTGATCACTGGATTGTCCGGTCCAGACTCAATAATTTACGGACCACCGCCATATAGCTGAAATATTGCTGAGTGCAGCTTAAAGCTAAACTCACTCTGAAGTTCTCTGCTAATATTGTTTGTAGGCCTGAATTAGCAGCATGAGCAAAATGTGTTTGGACTCGGAGTTGGAGAAATAACCTGGCATTCACACTCCCTTCCCAATTCTGGTATCACTTGCCTTGGAATAATCAACGTAATGTTTTCAACAGATTTGCAATCCATCTTCAGATGTCACACATTTCAGAATGATGACATGAATCCAATTACTTTGAGGGTTTTATTTTTAAAATACATCTCAATGTACATGATCAATTTTTCCATACAATTAAATATGTTACATATTTTCTTCCATAATTGCAAGTATGCACATACACTTGAACAGAGTTGACAATGTAGACTTAATGATAGGGGAAATGTTTTTCTTACAAATACTGGCAATTCCACCTTGAAAGATGTCTGTAAGCACATGGGTATAGGAACAGAGAAGAAAACATGTCACGAGTGCAAGGGTACACGTATACTCACACAGAATCTAGGAAAATGTTTGATTATAATATATCTGTCACTAACCAATTACATTGAGCAAGAGCTTTAGAAAAAAAAAGTAGAGAAATATTTTAACTGTTTTGTTAATCACATAAAATCAAGGAAATCCAGATGGTGCATGCCACTATTTCAAGAATTTTTATATACAGTTTCTACAGTGATTATTAATGTAACTTGTTTTGATGCAACTGAAACCAAAAGGCTGTGCTGTTTCATTGAGGTTGTACAACCATGACGTGAAGCAATTCTGATGATGTGCGGTCACTGAGTTTGTACAACCTCAATGTGGTAAATTCAGGTGATATGCTGTGTCACTGAAGTTGTACAACCACGTGTAGCACTCTACTATGTGCAGCCATTGAGCTCCAACCACAAGCAGCATTTAAGACAATGTACTGATAGCAGGTTAAACAAAGTAACTGACAGCACTACAAATGATGTCACATTCGACTAGATTAAAAATAACTTATTTGATCTCACCCTTTCTAACTAAGGTGCATAGATGTCACACAGACATTGCCTGGGCCAGGACTGGGGGTACAGTCACACTAAACACATCAAAGAAAGTTTTACCAAATTACATGTTTCCATAACATTTGACTTGGTACCTTGATCTTCTACAATGAGACCTATTGTATTTTACCTGCACCATTTCAGCATAAATTAGTTACCTGTCAGTTGCATGTGATACTGACTTCACTGCTATGCAGAGAAGTATTTCAGAATGTGAAAGGAATGACCGGAATGGTCCATGGTGGCCCCATGCTACTAGAGTATCCTGGCATGTCGGTATCCCCAGGCTGTGTGTAGTTGGCTGGAACAGTTAACTCCCCATTGTCACCGGGCACCTGTCTTTGCAACCATCCATCCAAGACCCAGTGCTGCTGTACATACTACCTGAACATTCCCCTCTCCCGAGTTTCCCATGGTTATATGCATACAGACAAGTGTATAATGTATGTACAGACTACGCCCATCTCCAGCCACTATGTACAGTGGCCTGTGTAGCTACAGTGCCTTAACAGAACAGACTGGACCAAGTCTAACACTCTCACAGATGTGTAACAGAACAACAACATAAACAAGACAAAACAAGGTTCAACTTTGGCATAACATAGATAGGGATTGCTTAATAGTTTCTATATTTCACACATCACCTCTACAAATAAATATGTTGTCAAGGTGTAACACATTATGACCACAAACATCAGCTCTTCCCATCATATTCATGGACCCACTGGTCTTTGTTTCAAAAACTACACTGCATGCTGTTTTTATCAGCAGATACATTAAGATTTTATGTATGTCTCAGTTTAAAGAAATGGATGTATTGGAATGATAGGTTTCAAGAGTTCATGACATTTGAATCCCTAGCCAAAGATTCAACAAAATAGGTAAGAAACAAATACTTTATGAACTGGGATATAACCATCCGACTGTTTGGTTCCCAACACAACTAATGTGGTTGTTACAGGTATTTACTGATCTGAATGCAGATGTCACAGTGACAACAGAAACAGACAGGAGACAGTGCGAGACAGTTCCACATAGTGCATCCATTTACCACAAACACATATGCTGCAACTTACAAATATATACTCTGCTCACATCAACAACCATATGCATCCGTGAATACATACAGCAATTTCATAATTAACCTCTCCATAGAGTACATTCATTGTTGTCGTAACCAACAAAATGAACCGAGCATTCGGACATAATGACACTTCCAAACGTCATCATTACCCTCTACAAAGAGAAAGGAGAAAGCCAGCCATACAGAGTACATTATGGAAAAAGAAGGTCCTCTGTATTGAGGGTGTTCAGCAGGAAGCCAACTGTACAGAATATATTCATCAGAAAGCCATCTGTACAGAATACATTCATCAGAAAGCCATCTGTACAGAATACATTCATCAGAAAGCCATCTGTACAGAATACATTCATCAGAAAGCCATCTGTACAGAATACATTCATCAGAAAGCCATCTGTACAGAATACATTCATCAGAAAGCCATCTGTACAGATTATTTTTTAAAGAAAGTTCTCTAAAGAAAAGCCCTCTGAACAAAGTACATTATGAGAAAGCAAAGCTTATCTTGCTTATTCTACCTGTGCTAAGTTCCCAATGGTGAGATATTATAGCAGAACAAGATGGTGGTTTCATGTTGATGACATGAAAAGAAAATGGCTTCATGAACTCAAAATCATCTTGAAACTGTTGAGGTAAGCAGCCTTCTCTGTATCATTGGCGGTCAGTTTAACAGTCGTCTAATTCTACAACATAGTAGCCTTGCCCAGTGCATTACATCACACACAACCTTTTCATCTAAAGGCAACTGTATAAGGATAAAGCACATACACCAACTGGTCACCAAACATCTGTTCTACAATTCTATATCAACTGTTTTGACTAACATATTGAGATATACATTTGATTACTTGACATACTGATTGATAACTTGCAGTAAGCAGTGTTGAAACATGAGTTGGGAATACAATATGTTGTGGAAGCAAGGTCTAACCAACGTGGTATGACACAATAATAGTTGGAAACTGTCCCTCTTTCACCTAGCCACAAGACTACAAATTTGAAATTTTCACATTTGAACCAGTGTACCCTGAAGTGGAAACTTTTCAGTTTTAAACGGATGTTCAGAGTCTGCATCAGCACCTGACTGATAACGAAGACAGAAATACTAGACGAGACATGGAAGTTCCCAACCAATGGTAATGAATGCGGTTCACCATTGTCCACGTAGAACTAGCACATTACATAGACAAATATTTGCTGCACCAAATTGCATGATATAAAGAATCGCAGTCTCCAAAGTGTTTGCAATAGATACTAATTTAAATGATAGGCAGATGTACAGCATTGCTCATAGATATGTTCACATTAATATGTCGAAACAGGAGAATTAACATAAGAATTTAATACAGAAGGCAGTCAAATTGTCTGACAAATTACATAATACTCATTAAAATAATCTGTCCATGCAGTTGATTCCTTAATAATATTTCACAATATCTGATTATATTTCAAAGAAAACTGATCATTCATTTCCCTGTAACTGATTAATATGGCATGCACCAAAGAGCTTTTCTAGCAAACAATTTTATCAGTGTTCATCACTGGTCAAGTCATGATCCTGGTTTTGTCCTAACCATCAATCTTGACAGCATCGAACAGAACAGCATTCTGAGGTAATGTTCAACTTCAGAATCTTCACATTTCCATCATGATGACCACTGATGCCTCCTAAAACTTGAGCTCAAAACAAATTTACAAATGAAAAGCTCTCATAGTTTCCAAACAGTGCCTGTATCCCTGTAATCACAGTGAAATTAGTTGAATCCTGAACATGTGGAATCATCCATCTTGGTCACAGCATGCCCGAGGTGAGGATACCTCCGCCCTGGCGATGATGCATCACACGTCGTGGTCCATAAAAAGCCGAGAAGAAGACCGTAGAATGAAATATGTATCTGTAGTATTCATCACAATGTCTGGAATCACAATAAATTATGTGCTGACTCAGTGTTAAGACTCCTCTGTCAACAAAGATTTTATATCGTCTAACAATCCTGACAACAACTTGCTCTCTGAACTCTTCCCATCAACATTCAGACTACCATTTACCTGCAACAAGAAAAAATAATGTCTTCAGCACAAACATCACATATGAACAGAAAAAAATTGATTCAAATTAATCAGCATGTCCTGAAACCAGTATGTCTCAATGGCACGCAGGTAGATGAGCCGAAATGGGTTTTACCTCATGTTCAATATTACTACGCACATACAGCAACATTGATGTGCTGCTGCTTGTATGCTATTTTCATGGTGATAGCCTTCTGAGATACCCCGTTCTAACAAAGTATTCCTACTCAGAGTCAACAGTGCTTGTTCTATTACCATAATGTAAGGTTGAGTGCCAAGTTTGACACAGACACAGGATCTATCAAACCACCAACCCTCCCCTCCCATCTTCCTGGAAGACACTACCTACCAGACCAAAGCATCAGCTGACTTACATAGAGTGAGTGAGTCAATGAGAATGGTTTTACGCCGCTTTTAGCAATATTGCAGCAATATCATGGTGGGGGACACCATCAATGGGCTTCACACATTGTACCCATGTGGGGTTTCAAACCTGGGCTTTCGGCATGATGAGCAAATGATTAACCACTAGGCTACCCCACCGCCACTCACTAACATAGAGATTAATGAAAGAAATGTTCCATAGCTCTTCAGAAATACTCACCATTTTGACCAGTAAGCAGACAGGGTGACCTTGAATGGACTTGCTGAATAATGAAGCACTTTTATCAACTTGTTCTATTACTGAAATTGAATATTAAAGACAAATTAGTCTTCTGATAAAACTGTTCATGCAATTCAAGTCTTTGCAGAAACTGTGCGATAGATGAAGCTACTGACAAAGCATAAGAACAAAGTATATAAATGTTATTCCGAATGTATCATTTTGTTAAAAACAAATGCTCAGAAACGAGGCTTGTTTTTTCACTTCTCTCTAACAAACTTACATCTGAAATGCAGGTGAAAGCACATTTTGGCAAGGACATGTGGGAACTCGGTGTCTACTGGCGTCAGCTTACAGGAGCCCTTCTCTGGCAAGTCTCCACTGGCTAGTAACTCGGCAAATTCATCACTGAAACACAAGAGCAGTCAATGAGTTGGTCTTAACATCACTTTACTTTCAGTAATATACATGTCAACTTCAAGAGTCAGCTTCAAGTGATGCTGATCAAAGACTTTAACCCTGCCAAGACAATCCAGGCTATAATTGGGTCTTCTGTAAGCCATGGTGACTAAGGAGATCAGATGGTGAGACTTGCTGACGTGGTTGACACATGTCATAGCTTAGATCAATGCTCATGATGTCAATCACAGGGTTGTATGGCTTAGACTTGAATATTTACAAATTGCCTTCATGTAGCTAGAATATTGTTAACAGACAAATGCAAACAGTAGCTAATCACAAACAGCAAGTGTCAAACAATGGGTCCCAAAACAGTTTGTGACAATGTCAAAACAGTGTCAAACAATGGGTCCCAACAAGGGCAGTTTGTGACAATGTCAAAAAAGTGTCAAACAATGGGTCCCAACTAGCACAAATTGTGTCCTGAACTCCTGCCCAGATGATTGTGGCTAAAGGATGCTATCCTTCTCAGCAAACAGTGGTGAATTAGGCCACTGACCTACCTATTGACTTGTATATCTCATGAAACAGTTATGGCAAAGTGAAGTAAATAAATGAAGATCTCCTTCTCAATCACAGGGCAATCAAATCAGACTAAGGTTATAACAATGACTAAAGTGTTGTCTGCATTATATCATTGTTGTCTGCATTTTATCCTTTTATCTTATCTCTACAAATGTTAATGTTCAGTGTTTGTTGCTTGATGCAGCACTGTAAATATCTGAGTATGGACCAGACAATCCAGTGATTGATATTGCAAGGTGCTGTAGTCACCTAGTCTGACCATCGAATCCATGTAGTTGCCTCTTACAACCAGTTTGGATCTAGTACCACTTCTGATCTAGAATGCCTCCAGGAATGGTGAAATGCAGAATATGTGTACCTACCTCTTGCATGGTGTTGTGACAAGGTAGGAGCTACATGGAAGGTGAAGCTTAAAGTCAAGTTTTTCATGTGTTGAGCCATCGCCAGACTGAAAGAAACACATGTACTTTGATGAGGAATATAACTCAAGGTAGACTGACCAGCATCAAGTACATGCACCTTTATATATCAATGTTTAACCATTATTTATTATTTAAGTGATAATAAGTATATTGGCTTACAAGGTTTGAACAATCAAACAACAATCAAGACCAAACTAGTGTAACTTCTTCATCTTCAGTGCCATTACTTCAGTCATCTACCAACTTATAACAGCAGCATATCAATAACACACATACAACTCTTTTCCAAACCGAGAAAGCAAAGTCCTATGAAGCTGTTGAAGATTGTTTTATTAAATTCACATTGATCGTCATAATACCTTGATGATGTACGTAAGTGTCCCCCTCATCTTCTGTGACATAGAAATACTTTCAATACTGAAAGCAAACTGTCCTTCGTTCTGAGACTCTGGCAGCAGGATGAAGGGTACCCTGACAGCATCATGGTGGGAGTTGCCCAGCTGGACACAAAGAAAAGTTTAGGGAATACATTTTGCAACCACAATCTGCTCACAAACATAGCACCAACATGGGTACATTATCTGTCTGAGGTACAGAGGACAGACTATCTTTTTAACTAGTGTACTGTGTACGTGATCAGCTTTCCCAACACCCATGGCGATAAAGTCCTAAGATCAGAATGAGTGAGTAAAAATATTGATAAGCGCAGATATGTGAAGATTGTCGACTCTTTTACTGGGACACCCTGAACACTAACCGTACCCGAGCTAGCAAATGATGTACAAGAGACTGCAACATTCCAGCTATATCATCATGGCTAAAAGTAGTTTGAAAGAGGCAACTAGTGGACATAGTCATAGTATGACTCCTCTTAACTCAACTGGGTAGAGATCCAATACTCTATTTGTAGGTCCATCATCAAGCATCTGGAAGTTGGGATGTGCCCAACTACTAGTATTCAAACTGCAGTACCAATTGAGAAGATAGATCTCCTAAAATGCTTGACAGATACTCAAGAGAAACCCGGCAGATACTAAGCAACAATTAAGTTTGAGTACTTACCCCTCTGATTAGCTTGGTGTTGAGAGTGTCCAGGACATTAAACTCCAGGTCCTTTAAGTGGTTCTTGGTCTGATTATTGAACACTACCGAGATGATGATCTGGTCACTACGCTGTGGGGATACTCGTGTCTCGTACGTCTATGAAGAGATATTTGCATTAGTGAGTTTGGCTAAACATCATTTAAAACAGAAGTGTGTCAGCTTGATGTGGAAGGAAAGCAAGATGTGCTCTAGACTTATACCAGTTTTGTGAAACACACCATCACTTGCACCATGCAGACAAACACACTTAGGGTACACCAGGATCTGAACCCATGATCAACGGTTTTTGTCCTGCCCAAGGGACATAACTGACCACTGTAGGACCTTTGACCACCATAACATCATGCTTTCTATAATGAATGTCAGACATTGTTTCAAACTAACTTTAAGGCACATTACCATATCTTGTCTAAAATCTGTACAGTATTACATTAGTTTTACTTACCATCCTAAGAGTGGCATTTTCAGCAAGGAGCTTATAACTGGACATAGGCTACAAACAGAGAACAAAATAACTATTAGTACAGAAAAAAATTAGAGCATCAACGGATCAGTCAGTATTTACTCCAATACAAGGTACACAATTGACTCATTACAGTTTTACACATCATCCCTTTCTGACAATTCTGAAAATAGCTGATCAATCAATGCTGAGATAACTGCCAACACATACCGGAAGCTGTACCTCCATGGGTGTGCCCTGCTGGGACATGGAGATGTTCTCTTTCGATGGGGTGGTGATACCCTCAGCCTCCTCATACTCATGCCGCCGCAGCTTGTCTTTCTTCTTCTTGTCTTTCTTCTCCTTCTTCTCTTTCTTACTCCCACGTTTCTCCTTCTTTTTCTTTGGCTTCTGTAAAGAATTCAACACATCTTAAAATTTGTTGTGCCATGGAACACATTTTATTCCATGCAATGATTATCAATTGAGATTACTTCAGAAAATGTTGCTTTGGACAGATAAAAGCAAACACTGCTGTAATTTTGAGGCAGATAATGACTCAAAAAGTTTTGGTTTTTGGTGGTGTCTAATCAGGTGGCTATGATCTACATAAGTATAGTTCGCTCTAAAAGTGGGCAAACAATGTCCATCATTATCATGCAGAATCTTGAAGGAAAACCAAGTTGTATGGATAGTCAACTTTTTTATTTCAATGAGTGCGACGTTTCAGTGTAGGTAGTAACCTGGTTATCAAGCAACACACCAGGCCACAGATTGCAATCAAAGCTTCCTGACACACCTCATTTCCTCCTGCATATGGAGGGCGGATCATGTGCAAGGGAGTATGTTTTGAGCATGTGTTCTATGATGCTTTTAACAGTATTTCAGCTATTTCTCAACATGACAGCTGGAGAAAGTTGGTGCATGTAGTCTTTTACCACTTTAGTGAAACCAAAAGCACAGGTATGGAGCTGATAATCAAGAATTATACTCAGGGAGCATCTTCGGAACAAATCCACATACCAAAGCATAACCCCAACACAAGTGGACTAATGATGTCCCTGTGTGATCTGGCTTCTAGCTACACATATAACTGCATCATCATCATATTGCCCACTTTCATGTAATTTTCTGACTAAAATTGATATTTTATACTTATCCTGACTCATGCTAAATGCTTGTCTCCTTCTTCTTGCGAATGATAGTGGAACACTTGAAATCCCTTGAAGTTCCCTTCTAAAAAGCGGACGTAAAATCATCACTCACCCAAGAGTAGTCTCCCTTGCCTCCTTTGGCGCCCTTTTTGGTCACATGACCAGCAATGTTTGTCACTCTCTCCGTTTGTACGCCTGACACCCGGATTTACAGGGAAATCCAGAGTGCCCTGAGAGGGGAGGTTGGGAGGGCTGACCTCATGAGTCAGGATAAGCATAAAATATCAATTTTAGTCAGAAAATGACATATTTTTCCTTATCCTGACTCATGCTAAATGCTTGCAAAATCCATCGGGAATCGGTGGTGGGTCAGGCCACTTCCTTGATTTCACTGGCTGCTGTTTTACGTCCTGTATTACCCCCCATGGGAACTTATGACGGCACTGCTGATGATTCTGTTCTTCCAACTTCCATCTGATGAGTCTGGGGGGAACCACAACTTGTCAGATTTCTTCCAAAACTTCTGCTAACATTTTCGTGTGGATTTTAGATATACTAATGTTCCATTAGTTATCTATTGCAACTCCATCTCTTGATGCGTGCATCAAGTGGAGATGCGACCATTCTTCATATACGAGTAAGTCCTATACAAGTACAGGGTCTATCAATCATGCTAGTCTGTCCTAGACATGTGCATGGACTTTAACCATTTGCTCTCCAGAGCGTTGGTTTTGACAAGTCACGTATAAAAGGGTTGAGATATTTCTCAGCGGTTTTGTGGAACCGTTAGTTGTTGTGCTACAACAAGTGGCCCAAACTGGTGAATGCCTGAGACGTCTTCGGTGGCAATGTCTCTGAGTTAGTGGTTGGCAAACACTGTGTCCAATTTCCAAAAGCAGCCCTCCATTATTGTTGTAATCGAGCAGTTTCCATCCAGAGCAAGTGTAGACGCCAGGGCTCTGACTTCGTGGGGATTGGATGCTCGTGGAGGCTCAAGTCCTGCTGCTTTGTAGGCCCTTAGTATAACGGTTCTCATCCATATCGATATCGTTGTCCGTGAGAATTCCGTGGGCGTCTCAGTGGATAAGGGGATGAATAGGTGCTTGAATTTTTCGTCTCCTTGTTTTTGTCCTTTGTAGGTAGACTTTAAGTGCTTTGACAGGGCATAAGGATAAATCCTGTGTATCCTGTGGCCCAAGGACTGTAGAGAGTGCTGGGATGTGGAACTGTCTGTCAGGCTGGCTGGGCAATAAAGTCCCACCTCAGTCCTAGATGTACAATGTCACAATGTCTTGATTCAAATCGTGTTTGTTCAAAGTCCAGAGCATGTATTTCTGACATCCGTGCTGCTGTTGCTAGGGCGATCAGGAACAGCAATTTCTGTGTCAGTAGTTCAAAGGATGGCTCGTGGCTCGTAGGCGTCACTGGTGAGATGTTGTAGAACTACGTTGAGATCCCAGGCAGGAGGCTTGAATTTCTTTTGTTGGTCTTCCAACTTGAACAAGCGTTGTAGTGCCAGTATTTCTGGTACTTTGGTCAGCTTGACACCTGTCTTCATAGTGATAACTGTGCTGAGAGCAGCCAGATACGTTGAGAGTGTTGAACCTTTTTAAGTGTCTCGTCTGTCTCAAATGAAACAAGTATTCTGCCACTTGAGGATGGGTTGCCTTTACCGCTGTAAAGCCTTTCCTCGTTGCATACTGTTCAAATCTCTGCCACTTGTCATCGTACAAGTTGCGAGTTGATCTGCATAGAGCTAGTGTCACTGCTTTCGCTGCTCTGCCGGAGTACCCTCTAGTCTTCAGGCAAGCTTTGATACACTCCACGCGTGTAGCTGGAACAATGCACAATTCCCGTGAGCTTGCTTGGTGTGTGGACGGACGAGCAGATTCGACCACTCTGGTAGTTTCAGGGTTGGACTTCCGAGTTCTTGTATGAGGACAGGAAACCATACCCTCACTGGCCAATAGGTCGCGACCCAAATCAGTTGCAACGTTGTCGTCTGCTTGATTATCTGTAATTCTTGTGGTAATAGTGCTGGAGGTGGAAACGCGCGAGCGTTTAGTCCTTCCCATGAGATGCTTAAAGCATCTGTTGCCCATGCCTGAGGATCCGGAATCGGTGAGACGAATGTTGTTAGTTGTTTGTTGAACTTTGTTGCAAACAGGTCTATCAGCGGAGATCCTACTGTCTGTATGACGAACCGGAACACTTCTGGATGTAACATCCATTCCGTCAGGGATGGTTGTAGTGAACGAGATAGGGCGTCTGCTATGACATTCTTTGCTCCTGGAATGTGACATGCCTTCATGAAGATGTTCAGGTCGTCGATGATGCTGAACAGGAGAAAGCTGAGTTTTAGCAGACTTGTTGACCTTGTTGATCCTTGATTGTTGATGTAGAACGCTACTGTGGAGTTGTCCGTGGACCGTGAGCCTTGCGTTCTATAGTACGCTGGAACAGTGTTGTAAAGCGTTGATCACTGCTTTCATCTCCAACAGGATGATGTGCAGAATTTGATCCTGACTCGACCACTTTCCTGCTGCTACTTCATTGTCGAGGTGAGCACCCCATCCTTGTAGTGATGCATCCACGTAGAGATGAGTGTTGCAAGCCGGCTCTGACAAAAAGGTTCCTCCACAAACATTCAACTTCTGAGTCCACCATAGGAGTTATGGTTTCAGGCTGTCTGGTAGTATCAGTGGATCCAAACTGTCGAGATGGGCGTTCACAAATATTGTAGTGGGCGCAGCTGTAATCTCCCTCTGCGAGTCATGTCTCGAGCTGAGGTGAGTAGACCAAGCATGCTTTGCCAAGCACATAGTGTCAACGGAGAGAGCATTGCTTGAGATATCATGTTGTATCTTGACCCAACGATCCTCTGGGACGACCGTGTGATTCTGTGGTGTGATGAGCCATATTCCCAGAAATTGAAGATCCTGTTTTGGTTCCAACTCCGATTAGGAGATTACTAGCCATCTACTGCAATCATGTCCTATGTTGTAGGTACGTGGATCTAGGAGCCCTTGCCATGTCCGTCATGGAAGCGGAGAGATGTCACCAGAATCCGAACAATGTGCAGTGATGATGCATAATACGTCGTCTCTAGATCAGCAAATAACTATGATGTACTGGGACTGCCATCGATGTAAGTCTATTTATAGTCGACCAGCTGCCTCGAGCAGAAACTGTCTTGCGCTTGTCGCTGCAAGTCCCCAGATAACCAATATTAAATCTGCTGACAGGGGAAGTCCTTTATGACCCATGAAGACAGTCAAACCATGCTGTACCCTGCTAACTGGACTGTAAATGGAGCCTTTCCCACGTTGAAAGAGTTGTTTACAACTGTAGACTTCCTAGCACGTGACTATGACCGAGTTCTGCGGAGGGCGTTGTCTCTCATGGACCAATAAGATTACAGATGTGATGTCACCGGTGTTGCAGGTAAATGATCCTCGTAGAATCTTTTGTAGTTATTGATTTCTTCTTCAACACTCGGCCTTGTCCGTAACCTCTCTGTTCGGCTTGTGCTGGAGTTACACGAGTGAACACGTGTATAGATGGCTGAGTGGAAGCGCCAGAAGACTTTGCCGCGTAGTACCAATGTAAGCAGACTGTTGCCTGTCTGTTGTGACTGTATTCTTCAACTTTATAATCTTTACTGTAGTCGTCATCTTATACAGATGGTCTGTAAAGTTGACCGTAACCGATGTCTCGCTGAGGAACTGCGACAATGCTGTTAACTGTCCCACTGATATCTTGTTAGCCCATGTGATGAAAATTCGTCTTCAGTGTTTCATCGGATGTTATCTGACATCGTTACTTCAGGTGTGCATCTCTTCCTTCAGCCACGCGTTAATCCAACATAGCCAACATCTAGTTGTAGTGTCCAGTTGCGCTATTTTCTTATTTTCCATCTTGAAGATCTATTACGGGATTCACTGATGATCTTGTAATCTCAAACCCTGATGTATCATGAAGGGCTCCATATGATGAAGGGGAAATCTGCTATTGTTGAATGGCGGAACATGCTGACTCTGATTATAATCCTCCCTGTGAGTGCCTGCGTGCAGGTTGATGAAGGTCCAAGTTGGAAGATCCGTATTCGTAGTAGTCTGAAAATCCTGGAGAATCTGGATCTACTTCTGTGAAAATCCTGGAGAATGACTGGATATACTTCTGGCGGTACTTCTGTGTTAGAATCCTTCCTGCTGAGACGCTTCCATAATGAATCTCTGTATGTAGATCTGTATGGAGCTGCTTGCAGGTGAAGCAGCTCCATCTGTTGAGACTGCTGAATGTAGCTGTTGAAGCAGGTTTGGCAGCTCTTCTTCATCGCTGGTCTGAAACTGTTGCATAAGCAGACTTGAGGCAGGTATGATGATGGGGATCATCATGCACTTGTGAAGAGATGGATGCTGCTATACTGGTACCCGAGGTACAATATCTGGGCGCTGTGTTGGATCTCGCCTTCTGCATAGAGCTGTGAAGAAACTCATCGACTGATGTCTTAGTGAAGGATCTCGCTGTAGACTTCTTCTGTCTGTGCTGTAGAAGAAGAAGATCTCGCCTTCATCGGCGATGAGGACAGCTCCGTTGACGAAGTTCATCACTGGAACAGCGACCTGCCCTCGTAAAACGCTCGGCAATTCACTGGAATTATGAACATCGGCAGCAGTAGTTAACAGTTATCAGTGCAATCACTCGATTTACCAGACATGACTTGTGAATACCTTCTTACCCAGTCCTTTGCACGTCTATGAAGAGAAAAAACAGGTAGTTATTTAATTAAAAAGGCATGGGCGGATCCAGTGTGAGTGTGAGTGTGGAGTGTGAGTGTGTGTGTGTGTGTGTGTGTGTGTGTGTGTGTGTGTGTGTGTAGACAAGAGTCATCAGAAGATGACATATCCCCCCGGCCCCCACATATTTGAAAGAACAAATCATCTGACAGTTACTTAAAGTCCAGCTTGACTTTTTTTTAAAGTCCAAATCATTTCAATGCAAATCATGAGAAATATAAATGCCAAAAATCTGTAAATAGCAAAAGGCACCATTTCAACATTTGCCTAATATATCTGCCAAGTTCTGTTAAAAGATACTGAACGCTTTTTGAGTTGTGCACCGGAAACGAAGCCCACCCCTCCCTTTTGGGACTAAGTCCTAATTGTTTCCAAGAAAACCGAGAAAAATAAAAATGACAAAAATCTGTAAATAGCAAAAGGCACCACCTTAGGTCTGTTTGATATTTCTACCAATTTATGTTGAAAAATATTGAAAGGTTTTGGAGTTGTGCTCTGGAAACAAAATGATTACGGACGGACGGACGGACAGATGGACGAGGCGACGACTATATCCCCCCGCATTACATGCTGGGGGGATAAAAAGGATATGTGCCGTATAGGGACCCAGGTGCTCTCACAACCTCCTCAAGGGCGCAGAAGGAGAGAGTGACAAACATAGCAGGTCATGTGACCAAAAAGGGCACCAAAGGAGGCAAGGGAGACTACTCGTGGGTGAGTGATGATTTTACGTCCGCTTTTTTAGAAGGGAACTTCAAGGGATTTCAAGTGTTCCACTATCATTCGCAAGAAGAAGGAGACAAGCATTTAGCATGAGTCAGGATGAGGAAAAATAAACATTTACTAAAGACATAACCAAACAATGTCCTCCAAAGGAGACCAGACTACTCACCTCCTCGTTAACCTTAGCACCATCTTCTTCTTCTGATGACAGAACATCGTTGACTGTGAGTTTGGGTGACTTGGTTCGATCTACATTATTCACCACTGGCCTTGAGTCTTTTACAGGGGAGGGGGTTGTGGCAGCATCACTTCCTGACAGCCAGAACTCTATGTCATTGGTCTGTCATAAACAAAGTTGCTTTCTTAACACAGTCAAAAAATTGTTTTACAATAAAAACCGATATTCTTTACAACAAAATGTCTATAAGAACAGAAAATCGAAATATACACCAGGCATGAACTAGAGGCGAGAAATAGATCACTTAACTTAGTCAGCATGAAAATATTGATTTTTCCTATGTTCTTTTGTCTAATCATAAAAGGATGGAAATTACACAAGTACATCTCTTAGATAGATAGGTTTAGTGCAGTCACTTGTGGTCACGCCAAGAAGTGCATACAATTCAGTCCCTGTAAGACAATGCCCTGACCTTATCTGATTGTTCTTCTGGAGGGCTCGTGCTGTTGGCTGTATTTTCAACATTGTTGACGATGTTAGCCTCTGATGCTGTCTCCTCCTCTGCCGCCGTCAGAAGCAGTGTTGGGCCATCCTTTTCCTTATTTTCCGACTTTGATTTCTTCTTGTCACGCTTCTCTTTCTTCTCCTTCTGTAACAAAGAAATCCTCATTTGCTATTTTCATCTACAAGTATCTTCACTCATACTTTATCCAGATATAGTAGCTCATCGTATTATCACTTTTGCTGAGAGCATACATGTATGAAAATCCCTGTATTAGAGAAACAGTGACAACAAGAAGACAAAGTCATCAATATCCCCCGCAATGGCAAAATACCCTTCATGATTATGTCTACGAGTCATGATTATGTAAATATTTAGGTGTGTATATAGAAAAGTGGAAGCAGAGTATTGAAAGGTTTTTAAAGTTCTGCTCCAGAAAATAGCACTATCATCAATTTCAGTCAAAGTGAAACTTGTTGCCATGGAAACGCCAAAATATTTTATTCAGAATTCCAAAACTACCAAAAGGCACCAGTACACCACCAGATCCATGTATGTGCCAAGTTTGGTAAAGAAACATTGAACAGTTTTAGAGTTCTGCTCCGGAAAAGAGCACTACCACTAATTTCAGTTTTAGTCAAGCTTGTTGCCATGGAAATGCCAAAAATATATTATTCAGAAATCCAAAACTACCAAAAGGCACCAGATCTATCTATGTGCCAAGTTTGGTGAAGAAATAGTGAACTGTTTTAGAGTTTTGCTCCGAAAAAGAGCACTACCACCAATTTCAGTCAGAGTCAAACTTGTTGCCATGGAAATGACAAAAATATTTTATTCAGAAATCCAAAACTACCAAAAGGCACCAGTACACCACCAGATCTATCTATGTGCCAAGTTTGTTGAAGAAATTTTGAACGGTTTTAGAATTCAGCTCCGGAAAAGAGCACTACCACCAATTTCAGTCTAAGTAAAACTTGTTGCCATGGAAACGCCAACAATATTTTATTCTCAATTCCAAAACTACCAAAAGGCACCAGTACACCACCAGATCTATCTATGTGCCAAGTTTGGTGAAGAAATAGTAAACGGTTTTAGAGTTCTGCTCCGGAAAAGACAAAAGTGCACGGACGGATGGGCCATTTTAATACATGCACCTTGCGGGGATAATTAAATTCATTATAGCTTGGTTGAAATAACAAAGCTGACTCAATGTCTGGACAATAACTTTACTTTACTGTGAGAGCGATGGTTAGCATAGATCCTTATACTGGTGTCAACAATGTTAAAGCAAATCTTGTTATAAGGAAGTTGTCATGAAACAGATCGTGTCTACTTTATCATCCGTCATATTTGAAAAATGCAAATCAAAACATTAAGAAAACCAGCATTGTCACTAAGGTGACATAATCCCCATAAATTCTCAAATCAAACTTAAAAAGCAATAAAAGTGAAGGTTGTAATTTAAGATGAAGTTAAATGTCAACCTCTCTTGATATCTTGTTCTGTAGTTGTTCAAACGCACAAATATTTTCAAGACTGACTTTGACCTTGACATGAATGTCTTAGTGTATGAAATATGCAAAAATAGTAATTATGCTTATTGAAAAACATTCAAGGGAAATCTTGAAAGTCTATGGAGAAAATCCAGTGAACTGTTCTTGAGATATCTCGCTGACAATCTTTACATGCAGGCTAACATGCTGAAATCTTCAAAGTGTTGCTGTGACCTTGAAAATTATGTGAAGGTCACCAAAATCGACTGGGCCCTGCGCCTTCCCTGGATAAAGCTTGATGTCAAATATGAATAAAATCCAGTGAACGTTTCTTGAGGTATCTCCCTGACAAGCTTAACATGCAGCTTAACATGCTGAAATCTTCAAAGTGTCGCCATGACCTTGAAAATTAAGTGAAGGTGACCAAAATCGACTGGGCCCTGCGCCTTTCCTAGATAAACCTTGGTGTTGAATAAATCCAGTTAATGGTTCTTGAGATATCTCGCTGACAAGCTTAACATGCAGCTTAACATGCTGAGTGAGTGAGTGAGTTTAGTCCTACGCCGCAATCAGCAATATTTCAGCCACATGGTGGCGGTCTGTAAATAATAGATTCCAGTGATCAACAGCATGAGCATCGATCTGCGCAATTGGGAACCGATGACATGTGTCAACCAAGTCAGCGAGCCTGACCACCCGATCCCATTAGTTGCCTCTTACGACAAGCATAGTCGCCTTTTGTGTCAAGCATGGGTTGCTGAAGACCTATTCTACCCCGCTTAACATGCTGAAATCTTCAAAGTGTCGCTGTGACCTTGAAAATTCAGTGAAGGTCACCAAAATCAACTGGGCCCTGCACAGTCGCCAGGGAAATCTTGGTGCTGAATATGAAGAAATCCAGTGAATGGTTCTTGAGATATCTCGCTGACAAGGGTTAAACGTTAAAGTCCCCTTGTGACCTTGAAATGAAGGTCAAGGTCACCAAACCTGACTGGGACCTTTCTTATACTGTGATGAACCTAGGTACCAAATAAGAAAAGAGTCAAGTCAACGGTTCTTAAGATATTCCAATTCGTACATATGTACTTACAGACGGACGGACGGACGGACGGATGGAGCCTAATACTATATCCCCCGCTTCGCGCTAAACGCACGGTGGGGGATAAAAAGTTCTGAAGACACAAATTTTACTAAAATACATTCATTGTCTTTCACTACATGAATCCATATATGTTGGCACACGAAAATCCCAAGGAACACCTAAACCGTTTTATGAGGCCTTGTAAACAATATTTCTATGCTGATTATCACATGCCATTGCTTACTATTATACTAACACACAGCTGCAGGCCACTTAGACTGTGTGCACTGTGGCTCTAAAAGAGAGCAAGACAAGTAGGGACAGCACGTGTACAATCTTACCTTTTCCTTCTTGTCTTTCTTCTTTTCCTTCTCCTTCCTGTGTTTTTTCTTGGTCTTCTCTGTGTCTCCGTCTAGCTCCTTGTCCGGCGATGCCTCCAGCACCAGTCTGTGTTGCCTCACCGGCAGCTTCTCATCATCTCGCAGTGGTCTAAAGCACACAGACAAACATCAAGTGTGAGGTTTCACAACTATCTGTAGACAAGAGGGATATAGAACACACTTTATGGATAACAACTTCTTTTTATTCGTGAGTGCGACGTTTCGATACAGATTCTTGTACCGTTGTCAAGTTGTCATTATGTTTGACAACGGTACAAGAATCTGTATCAAACGTCAGCTCACTAATAAAAAGAAGTTGTTATCCATAAAGAATAATCTATATTGTACTTCCCAACTTCTAAAATGCCACTCAAAGAAGTAACCCAAGAGGGGTATGAATTGAATGGTGTTAAAATATTTCCCATATTCTCATGTACCTGCTTCGCTCAGTCTCCATTACAGTATCACAAAATAATTGCCGAGTGAGTGAGTGAGGGAGGGAGGGAGGGAGGAGGATGGTTGTTTTCACCACTTTTAGCAATATTCCAGCAACATCAGAGTAGGGGACAACAGAAATGGGCTTCACACATTGTACCCACATGGGTAACTGAACCCAGGCCTTCGGTGTGACGAACGAACACTTTAACCACTAGGCTACCCTACCGCCCCTCAAAAGTAGAGATCTAAGCTGGTATATGCATATAGTTCATGAACAGAATTTGTCAAAAGTTTGTGCTTCCAGCACATGTATTTACTGCTATACCTTTCATAATATCGCAATAATACTCACTCATCCAGATTAACATCCAATTTCTTGAAGGGATCTGATGAGTATTCATCAGCATTTTCATTGTCTGAGAGGTGAGCACCCTGAAAATGACAAATGCAACATACAATATAACAACTTACACAGATGTAACACAAAATGAAGTGTGACTCTACGGCTTTGTGGAAATTTGCTACCATCTCAAGTCCATTACCATTAAATCTCAATGAATGAATGAATGAATACCTCAGGCATTTCCTCTACAGTGCTGACAGCATGCATTGCAGGGAGGTCCTCCTCCGAGTCGGTTTCCTTCCCTTTCCTCCTCTTCTTCTTCTTGCCTTTCTTTCCTTTTTTGGACTTGTCCCGCGTGTCTACATTTGAATACATATTTAAATATTTATCTGAGGCAGACAGACCTGCAGAGAGAAAAAAGCCGAGAGATATAGCAGTTGCCGCTATCCCAGTAAGACATATCATGCACAGAGGACTTGGCGGACTTAAGCTTCAATTACTGTATCACATGATGAATTTAGATTACAGTCCAGCTGTCCAATTTAAGCATTTAGGGTTTTTTAAAATCAAGTCAATATCATCAATTCGGGAAGAGATTGTTTTTCAAGGCTTTGTGCCAGTCTCCATCTTGATTCACAAAGACCTTGTTAACGTTAGCTAAGTTTTATAGTCTACATCTGTGAAATAGCAGCCAAAAAATCATTAAAGATACTGTATCTCATTGAAATATTTGGAACATCAAATGAGTCTCTCTATAATATGTCTCATATCTTATGTGGCAACTTTACACCATCTGTAGGCAAATTCTCTCTGTATTTACAAACATGCACAGTAGTAAACAAGGAAACCAAATCACCAGAGAGTCATATATATATCAAGGGCATGCAGAGTGGGAAGAGTACATACCTGGCACATGGAGCGGCACCGACAAGTCTAACGTAGCTACTGGGATGTCGTCAATGTGACTGGTATCATACTTCTTGCTCTGGTGGAGAATAAAACACACACATTGTTTCCTCCATGTATATTTTTGTCCAGTATGAGTGAGTGAGTTTAGTTTTACGCTGCACTTGTTCAGTATGATGGATGAAGGCTGCAAACATCTAAGGAAGCAGATAGGCTTTTTATTTTGATTATAGAATAAACACTGATCAAGAAACATGAAAATGCTTGTATTATCATTAATGACTTCTTTATTGTTTTTGTCAACATAATGCTGTTACATTCATGTTTGCTTGCATCAACTGGGAATCATTTGTCTGCCCTCACTTCAGCCGGAATCACATCTGTCCATCAAAGTGTTTTACTACCAACCTTCTTTTTGATATCTCCCTTCAGGTAGTGGGGATTGTGTTCCATCTCGACTTTCCTGGCTTCCCGCCTCTGCAACACATACACCCATCAGACTACTCCATTACAACACTAATGAACAGTACAGTCGTGTCAGTGAGCTACAGTATTCTAAATGGGGGAGCTTAACTTGTCTGTATTTATACCCTTTACCTATAACCTGTTCTGAGTTTTCTGACTAGATAGACCTACAACACTTAAACACTGTAAAACACATCCCCATAAACATCTAAAAATGTAATCAAAAGAAAAACAATAATAAGTTTTGCAAAAATATTAGTCCTTACAACTACTAAAAATTGATCACAATTTCAGACATCAGTATTTGAAAACTGAAGCAGTTTTTTTAATGATAGGCACTATCAGTTGTTCACTGTTAAACAACCCTCTCAGCAATATTCCAGCGATATGACAGGTATATGGAAATAATAAAAGTCTTGCCCTGAAAATCCGATCTTGATGACTGGCTGGGAATGGTCTATGATACAATGGCATGCATCAACCTGACCACAAGTAGGTACCTCTTATGACAAGTATTGGTTGCTGAAGGCCAATTTTAACTAGGTCTTCACAGGTGTCTGACTTTGTGATCTGGCGATTAGGTGCCTGACTCTGAGGGTGTGGGTTCGAATCCCGGATGGGACTCAACCCCCCAAAAAGTACTAGAATCTGTACTTTACTGAGAAAGTGTAATCCCAAATATAACATATGTTACATTTGACCACTTTCTAAAATGGCATTGTGCATTTCATAGGTCCTTCACAGGTCATAAGTTTCTGAAAGACTGGTAACACCTTACCTTCTCTAACTCTTCTGCTGTAGGTTCATAGGATTTCCTTTCACTTTCATACTGGTAGGTATCCCTGTAAGTCAAGCACAATGGTATAATTAGTAAACAGGATTCAATTCCACAATCAATTTGATTGATGCAGGTTCTATGTTCAATACATCCATCACTCACCTGTGTTCTGATCCTGAGGTAAAGAAGGCCGGGCCCCCAATTTCCTCATCTGAACTCTCGGGTGGTGGCTGATTTATCCACTTATCTAGATCCAGTCTAAAAAGAAACAGTGCATCCATAACTCTCAAGCAGTCACAGTCAGGTGCGTAAACTAAAAAGTGAAGGAGTCTTTTTGCAAGCCAAAGTCACATTCCAACTGAAGGCAACATATTTTTACGGATGACAACTACCGGTATGTTTATCTATTATAAAGAAACTTCTAAAGTGACAACAAGAAGACAAAGTCATCAATATCCCCCTCAATGGCAAGATACTCTTCATGATTATGTCTATGAGTCATGATTATGTCAAATATTTAGGTGTGTATATAGAAAAGTGGAAGGAGAGTATTGAAAGGTTTTTAAAGTTCTGCTCCAGAAAGGAGCACTATCACCAATTTCAGTCTATGTCAAACTTGTTGCCATGGAAATGACAAAAATATTTTATTCAGAATTCCAAAACTACCAAAAGGCACAAGTACACCACCAGACCAATCTATGTGCCAAGTTTGGTGAAGAAATAGTGAACGGTTTTTGAGTTCAGCTCCGGAAAAGAGCACAACCACCAATTTCAGTCTAAGTCAAACTTGCTGCCATGGAAACGCCAAAAATATTTTATTCAGAAATCCAAAACTACCAAAAGGCACAAGTACACCACCAGATCTATCTATGTGCCAAGTTTGGTGAAGAAATAGTGAACGGTTTTAGAGTTCTGCTCCGGAAAAGAGCACTACAACCAATTTCAGTCTAAGTCAAACTTGTTGCCATGGAAACGCCAACAATATTTTATTCAGAATTCTAAAACTACCAAAAGGCACCAGTACACCACCAGATCTATCTATGTGCCAAGGTTGGTGAAGAAATATTGAACAGTTTTAGAGTTCTGCTCAGGAAAAGAGCACTACCACTAATTTCAGTCTAAGTCAAACTTGTTGCCATGGAAACGCCAAAAATATTTTATTCAGAATTCTAAAACTACCAAAAGGCACCAGTACACCACCAGATCTATCTATGTGCCAAGGTTGGTGAAGAAATATTGAACAGTTTTAGAGTTCTTCTCCAGAAAGGAGCACTACCACTAATTTCAGTCTAAGTCAAACTTGTTGCCATGGAAACGCCAAAAATATTTTATTCAGAATTCCAAAACTACCAAAAGGCACCAGTACACCACCAGATTTATCTATGTGCCAAGTTTGGTGAAAAAATAGTGAACGGTTTTAGAGTTCTGCTCAGGAAAAGAGCACTACCACTAATTTCAGTCAAAGTAAAACTTGTTGCCATGGAAACGCCAAAAATATTTTATTCAGAATTCCAAAACTACCAAAAGGCACCAGTACACCACCAGATCCATGTATGTGCCAAGTTTGGTGAAGAAATATTGAACAGTTTTAGAGATCTGCTCCGGAAAAGACAAATGGACGGAGTCCATTTTAATACCCCCCGCAAAACGTGTTCATCAAATCAAACATTTCATTCCAGTTATTAGGTAGGGAAGTAAGTCAAACACAGACAAGCTAGGGGAATGAAGCAAAACTCATGGCACAATGACAAGGAATTAATCCCTTCAAAAAGCCTGACTTCCCGAAGTTTTAGCATCAAAATAATGTCTAGCATCATAATAAGTTTGTAACCATGTCAGACTTACCCCTCTGGTACTGGCACTTTTCTCTGAGCTTTAGGAGCGACTGGGTTGAGCTCTCCTGCATATAACAGCTCTATGTCATCTCCGATTTTAGCACCTTTGTCTAAGAGTTTGCTGACATACTTCACCAGTTGTAAGATACAGCAAGCCTGCAGAAACACAAACACTCAACTGTTACCAGCAAACCTTTGAGATTCTGTAGGGTGAGATATACAAACTAAAAGGAAAATTTCAACTTAATGTGGACAGAATTTTGTTCTATTACACAGTAAATACTCACTCTTTCCTGCACCTCCAGGTCAGCACTGGAGACGAAGATGGGCAGCTTCTCAGACATGAGCTGGTTGACCTCCCGGAGCAGGTCCTCCTCCCCATCATCCTCTGCCTGCCGCACCACCTTGCCATACAGCTTCAGGATGTTCTGTACATATACACTCTGTATGTGGCCTGGCAGGATGGTGATCTTGGGACGAAGCATGGCCTCCAGTGTGGACTTTGGGTCCTTTAGGCATCTTAATAAGAACATAGAATGCATTATGACTTTGGTGCTAGGTATGGAGAATGAGAGACCCTCAGTTCATACTGAAAGCATGAGCAGTGTTATCCTGCAATGTCCCTACTTCAGATTATTGATGACGTAAATAATGTTCTGTTATTGCGTCCAGTGATAAAGATTTTCAGAAATTAATCCTACTCACTCTGAAAATTCTCCACATATCCAAGCTGCAGCATACAGGACCTCACAGATGCCATTACGCTGGGAGTTGTTGGCCAACACATGGGAATTCTCCAGCAGGATTGCCTGGAGGCGAGGACATATTTGTAACAACTTGCAGAATACAACACATACAAGCTTCAAGAACACCTCTGTCATGTTCAACAAGATTCATAAAAAGATGACAAATCCCCCGGTCTCCACAAATTTGAAAGAACAAATTATCTGACAGGTTTTTTAGTCTAGGTCCAAATCGTTTCCATGGAAATCATGAAAAATATACACGCCAAAAATCTGCAAATAGCAAAAGGCACCACTTCAAGATCTGTTTCATATATCTGCCAAATCTTGTAGAGAAAGATATTGAACAGTTTTTTGGTTGTGCTCCGGAAACAAAGCCCACCCCTCCCATTTGAGACTAAATCCGATTCAAATACGAGAAAAATAAAAATGCCAAAAATCCGCAAAAAGCAAAAGGCATCACTTTGGGATCTGTCTCAAATATCTGCTAAGTTTTGTTGAAAAGTGTTCAAAGATTTTCGAGTTGTGCTATGGAAACGAAGCCCACCCCTCCCTTTCGAGACTAAGTCCAAATTGTTTCCATGGAAACTGAGAAAAATAGAAAGGCCCAAAATCTGCAAATATCAAAAGGCATCACTTTGTGTCTCATATAACTGCCATGTTTTATTGATCGATATTGAGCGAATGTTAAGTTATGCTCCGGAAACCAAATCCACCCCTTTTTGAAACTATGTGCAAATTGTTTCCATGAAAATCCAGAAAATAAAAATGCCAAAACTCTGTAAATAACAAAAGGCACACTTTAGATTCTGTTTGATATATCTACCAATTCTTGTTGAAAATATTGAAAGGTTTTTAGTTATGCTCTGGAAATGAAATGATTCTGAACCAAAGGACGAGCCGTTGACTATATCCTGCATCCGGGAGGATAACAAATGATACACCACTGACAGGACATATATGCCCCTAGCAAACACCTATCAACTTCTGACCTCTAACATTTTGGAAAAGTTGGAAACAAAACAAAGCATTGTTTACAACAGACAGTTATCTCACCATCTGATCCACAGCAAACTGCCTGATGGCCTGCACTCTGATGGCTACGTCCAGCATCTGACTAGCGATCATCTTTCCATGTCGGGTGCCCTCCATCCGTGTCAGCTCCACCAAGATACTCACATACCTAAGATATTATCACAATGGATTAGAACTTCTAAAACTAGTAAAAGTTATTGCATAATTTTTGTTTATCATATTTAAAGCTACATGTTGCAGCTTCAATGAAAAAAAGAAATAAGTTCACATAGCTATCAGAGGATTTGAGTCAGAGTTGGGATGAACACTGTATTACATTCATCTCAGTATGTGAGTGAGTGAGTGAGTGACTGAGTTTAGTTTTACGCCACTCAGCAATATTCCAGCTATATTGCGGCAGTCTGTAAATTATAGAGTCTGGACAAGACAATCCAGTGATCAACAGCATGAGCATCGATCTGTGCAATTGGAAACCAATGACATGTGTCAACCAAGTCAGCGAGCCTGACCACCCGATCCCGTTAGTCGCCTCTTACAACAAGCATGGGTTACTGAAGATCAATATTCTAAAAGTTCTAATATTCAAGGGTACATCTCAGTATGTGAACAAAATAACAGCATCAGAGTGAACACATGAAGATTGAATATGTGAACACTGGTGACATACAATGGATCATAACCAGTATCGACACAGCAATGTTTGATGTCTCAGGTCAATCCCAGTCAAAGATAGTGACAAATTTCAAATATTTAGAAACATTACTTAACAGTGGACACCAAGGACATCGTTATCATCACAACTGTATTACAACATGGACAATCTGGCTTCAACAGAAACAGTAATAAGGTAATTCAACTTACCACTCAAAGTTGGTCACAAACTGGTAGTTAGACTGGCTGCTGATGAGGATGATCTTTGACAGCAGTTCATCCCGATAGTGTGACCCCTCTGCTTTGTCCATGTGAATCATCAACTTCTTCACAATCTCCATCAAATTCTTCTTCGACACCTGAATATGTAACATAATTGTTAGTGACTTAATAAAGAGATACACTATGGAGCAATTATGTATGTACTAAATGACACCTTGTAAAGAGTTTCTATATAACATCATATTCAGGACGTACTATTATCCAACATGATGTCTTAGCTGTATTTCTGCCTAACATGGAACTCAGCAATATTCCAGATATAAGATGGATGTCTGTAAAAATCAAGTCTGGAGCAGACAATCTTGTGAGTGAAATCATGAGCATCGATCTACGCAATCAGAATATGATGGCAAGAGAATCAAGTCAGAGAGCTTGACAACACAATCCTGTTAGTTGCCTCTTACAATGAGAAGTCTTCATAGACATTCTATATAGGTGTAATTGTGTTAAATACTTCCAGTAGCTCACCATTCCATAGAGAAGGTCTAATGCCCGCAGTCGTATTGACTCGTCCTTGTCATCCAGACATTGCAGGATGAGGTCCTTGTGCATCTGAACACTCTTGGGGTGTGTGGCCAAGATCCGAGACATTGCAAGGAGACCAAGGTACTTCACTGTCACACAAAACACATCAGTTACACACATTGCCTGCCACATCACACACTTCAATAATTTACAGGATTCAAAACTAAGTGTCAGGCAGTTTTGGGGGAAACGTTATTTAGCTCAGACTGGTCACTGAAATACAAGTAAATTCTACAAAACATAACATTAGTTATTTTCAAAAGACATCAATTGGGAATTTTGTAGTTTGAATTTTGAGATGTAATTATGTAAATGAGTCAAGGACTAACTTGTTTATCAATGTTACGTTTATTGCACTCCTTTATGCCATATCACAAAAACCATGGACACTGGAATTACCAGTGAAAGACAAACCATTACTTCAATTACTTTCTCCATACTTTACTACCATATTCTGACAACAAATATTTCAAAATCAACATGCTAGTTCCACATTTCAATTATTCTGTTCACAGTAATATAGTTTTCCATCAAACTCATTTCATGTAATTAAATACAAATACATTTTAACCTAAACCTTGACTCTAGTAGAAACATTAAAATAGTATACTTACAGTTTTGATCAGAATCCTCAATTAGGATGCGAAGTTTCTGAACACAAAGCTGAGGGTGAAAGAAACAAACCATTTAGGCTAAGTTACCCCAGCAACAGTCTGGCCACATGGGTGAAGACAACAAGTATCATTCAAATGACAGCAACATGGCAAGCACTTGTGCAATACCAAACTACACAGTTATCTAAACATAATCTGAAACTCATTTGGTACATAGGCAGTGAAATTTAACACACATTTAATTAAAACTGAAGCATACTAGTAATAATTAAAATGTAATGTTTTATAAAGGTATTTAAAAATGTTAGTTTCAAATTTCTGAACAAACAAAGTTAAAGTACATTACAGTTAGTTTTCTGATGGTGTTTCATTACAGGTTCTTATAGATTCATATCAACAACACCATGTAAAGCAAATATACACATGTCACTTGATACAGAGAACAAAATAAACATACCACACTCCCACCAACTAAAACTACCAACACACCATGAGGCCATCAGGTTACCATGACAACCAGTCACTGGTGAACACCTCAAGCCATTCCTGCAAAGCACTTCAGACTATAACACCGCTGATGCCAGGCTGCCAAACTAACTTCGGAAATTGTTCATTAAAGTGCAGTTCAAGTTAGTGAAGCGACTGAAGATATTTCTGTTGCAATTGTAAACAATCCATCCCATAAAACCCATAGGCCACAACCCACATGCATAGATTACATCTTTCTCTACAGACAAGATCTATGGATCTTGATTTATTATAATTCCAGCTTCAAACATCTCCAAGATAAATATCAGACCAGCAAAGACGTGTACCACTATGAACCTAATCAACTACCCATGCAGCTGTAGCCAAAGGGAGACAACCCTGCTCAGCAAGAATGGCTTGTTTCAGACACCAGATTCATCACCTTTACGGAAACTATAAGCCCTGCTCCAGTGTGCTTAATGATGGTCTACACAGATGTTTACACTTGTTTCATTGTAATTTTGTTCATATATGTTGAGATATAGTTCATGATTTTAATACTTAAGAACAGTTACCAATTATTTGGAAATCAATCACAGAAAAATTACTTGTCTCTGAATTTCAAGAAAGGAAGTTAAACTCAATGTAGATAATGATTGTCACTAGGTGAGATCTATCTGGTGGTGCGCAAGGTGGTCAGTCGGCAGGTAGATGGACGGAGGGGCAGTAGGAAGGACATGAGGTTGTAAAAGTACCTGAATTGAGGCGGTGTGGTTGGGGATGCCTGAAGATATAGAAAGGAGGACTGTAAGAGGAGAGAGAACATCGTCAGTATGTGTCCGCAGTGAACCTACAGCCCAGGCTACAGTCTGGAGCAGTCAGTTACCAAGGTTACTTGTGCTTCCAGCACAACACAGAGTTGACCCCTCAGTCAAACTTACAACATCTATCACTACACAGATAGTTTCACGTTAATGGAGATGTTAAAAGCAAATACTGAGCTTTAATATTTCATCATGCACTGAAAATCAAGTAATTATTTGAGACACTTTAAGTTTCCTATACATGGGGAGGTATGTTACTCTTACTACAGATGTTGCTGTCAGTTTTGATATGTTTCAGACATCGTTTCAAAAGCTCAAGGGGCACACCTATTGTGATAATTCCAATCAGTGTTCGAGATGTATTATGGATCGTTCTTAACAGGCCTTTAATCCTTTCAAGCTTCACAGATGGCATTCCCCAAATGGGTCATAACTCCGCAAAACCTGTCTTCATCTCACTCTCATCAGATCTCGCAGGAGAAGGAGAAGATGCTTTGATCCTTTAGACATGTTTGAGGGCTGATTAACATTTATTCGAAACTTCTAAACTAATTTGATCAGGAGGTATGGATAAGTAGTGGTAATATACATGTTAAAGGAAAGCTATGAATTCTATTGTTTGTCTTGCATATACTGTATGTAGAAATCACTTCTAAGACTTTGTATATTAATCAAAGCATGATTCAATATATGTGCTTAACATCTCCATGACAGAAAGTGATTGACAGTCAAATACAATATCAACACTGACATAATGATTTATAGTTGTGACAGACAGACAGACAGAGAAACAGACAGACATAACATCTAGCTCACATGCACAGGTGCTCAGATACATAGTGTCAGGAATTAAGAGGGATCCTGGAGATTTCTGCTGAATGTTCAGAACACCTAAATCTTGACACAAGGATCAGAACAGAGACCCCTTGACTTTTAATCTCAAACACTTTAGACATGGACATATATATCTACAGGATGCATGCAAAGAAATAATGATTGTTTCCATTACTAGTGTTCTACAAAAATATTTAGGACAAAATGCTATGTTCTATGGGAGAACACAATACACTCAGGAGGGGACATGGTATTAACTTTGAAGAAGTGAGAATACAGGTTCCTTTCAGATTTATTTCACACATAACAGTTATTTCACTGATGATGGTGTTACAATTGGAAAGACAAGAATGTTACTCAAAGTTGTTTAATGATTCAGAAACCTATCCAGTCTTTGATAGTTACTTCTGTGTCTCAGATCCCAACATACAAACAACCTATCAAATAATGAAAGCTGACGCTGTGCAAGTCAAGCATCCAATACCAACTTGTTGTTTATATTAAGTCCCTGTAGCATGTTACAACTGAGTGACTGTGCTGCTGATATTTGCAGAGACTGTGTGGGTGTGCTCCCAATGAAGAGGTAATGAGGGTCACCATGGGGAGTGTAAATTATATAATTACATCAGTAATCAAGGTCATATAATGCAAGAACAAAATGTAAATGAAAACAAAGTGGGAACTGAATGACAGGAAGGAAAAGGAAACAAGCAGTATTGATAGGGACACTGGAAATATCAAACCAAAATGTCAGTGCATCAAAAACATACAGTTGTTAAATACTAGACTACAGTACCAGTGTCTATAGGATACATTTTCCATTTTCTCAAAATGAAAGCAAGTCAGTGCTAATGAATCTTGTAAAGATTTGCAAGATAAAAGCGAGAAATTATTAGAGGATTAAATATTTTGAAATAATTTATAGACTCTGGAATGTCATACACAAATCGTCACTGCAGACACAAATCATAATGAAAAATAAGACATTGAAAATTTAATGGGTTTTTTCTTTTGTGCAAAACAAATATCAGTCAATAATTCAATTCATTCAACAATCAATTTTCAGTTGACATAAAATTATCAGTGTAAAGTAATGACAAGGAATATTTTGGAAAACATTTTTGTTATTTATGACACAAACAAATACATTTGATAATCTGGCCCCTATTCTAGAATGTTAATGTATGGCGTTAAGCAGAGCTACAAATTCTTAACTGCTTTACGCCAAAGATAAAGAATTCTTAAGAAAATGTTTACGACCTATTCTCAAATCGTTCTTATCGAGTTCGTAACCCCAACACGACTAACCAAGTCTTAATAACTTTTCGTAAGCCACGAAAGGAAGTCTTTTGTCTGAAAGTGAGATTTAGTAGGGGTTTTCCCGTGACGTCACAGGTATGAGGGGATTCCCATGTTTACAAACAAGGCAGGTGATAATAGAGTTGGCGGCTATTTGTTCAGTGCTTGTATTCCCAGCACTCCTAGGAAGCAACGGACCTCAAACTGGTCTATTACAAAGGGGGAACACTAATTGAAGAGGTGATAGCAAATTACAGTGTCCTCTTTGGACATCGTTCTAACTCATGATCATCCAACAAATCCAAATACCTCGTCCTGTTTCTGTAAACACATCCCTGTTCACCTTTAGATCTACATCATTCATCAAAACAATCAATGCCACCATCTTTAATTTGAGTATCTCATTTACGACAACCCACTAGCTGTCTTTGATTTTTCTTAAATTTAAGAATCCGTAGGGATAAGAACATTTCAGGGTTAGGGTAGTAGAAATTTGTAAAACACTAAGAATGGTTTTAAGAAGTTCTTAGACCTACAAACGTTTCGATATATAGGAGCCCTGCTTCCTGCCCCTTCATTTGAGAAAGAAATCATGGGTAGCCCCTTACACGAATAGCAACAATTCTGTTATCCCTAATATTCCATGTCAAGATTATATCCTGTTTCTGCCCCTGTAAAGACTATCGACAACGTAAAGATAAAACAGTTACTTTCAATGTTTTACACAGGTCCTCTGCAAGAATCATTCAGAACTAGAAGTGGTAACATGAATGAAGCATTTGCTGTGGACTTTTTCGAACCAAAGCAAAGTGTTTCTGAATGCCCAGTGCCCCAAGTATGAACACACTGACACTACGGTCACAACCATCAGACAAGTTCTTCCTGCAGATGAGCAGGATGACACAAGTACAAATGTGACATTAATTATCACAAGGAAGGCAAATCCACAAACGCACACAAGTAATATATTTCAAAATCTATATAACTGTCAATATTGTTTTTAACATTTTACTTCAACATGTTCAACTGAAACTCAAAAGTATAAACAGCTAATAGAAATACTGTAGTAACATATGATGATAAACAAAACTAAAACAAACACATCATGAAATCAACTGAGTGAATGACTGAATGTCATTAATGCCTGTCAGAATTTCAGTACGTGCTTTACTGGCAAGATAAATTCATCTAAACTTTCATCGGATGGTTTAGAGAGGATGATTAAATAGATGAGGACCATGTAACATTTGCATTTTCAAAATGTTTTAAATAACCAGTATAAAAAACCATTAATCAACCCCAACTTAAAAAATAATGTAATAATAATGTGGTGATATCCCATACATCTAAGCAATTTGTCAAGTACATCCAGGTTGAAAACGTCATGAGCAATGGATAATAGAAAGAGCTTAAGTTCACAAGATACAAACTTTGGATAATTACTTCACTCAGTTGTCATAAATGTGTCAATTTGGCTTTAATCAGGCCAAACAAACAAAATGTTGTGGTTCCCGATTACACCTCTTTACAGTTTAGGGTAGGTAGATAGGACTTCTTTTTTTTTACATATTTTTTAAATTTTTTATTATTTTTAATTTATCAATGTGTAATCGTTTCTGTAATCAAGCTTGCGGCCATCATGTCAACTTTCTCTATCAGAATGACCTATGTCTGCCGGTGGCAGGAAAAAACAATGGTATCTGAAAGCTTATTTTATTCATACCGCTTTAAACAAAATAGGGTCGGCATCAGAATTCAAGGGTTGGTTGGGTAATCGGAACAAGATTTTTAAGGCCTCATTTATTGTATTGTCAGTAAACAGATTGCACAGAAATGGCATGGAACCCTTACAGTGTATATGGTCCTGGACACACAGAATATTGACTGTGGAATTTCTTTAAACTCTATTACTGAAAATCAGCAGACATTGATTTCATCCTTCAATATTCACCTTCAGAGGTGATAGACACTATATGAGTTCCATGTCTACCAACAGTAGATATGAAGTAAATGTCAGTAGAATGATAGAAGCCATCTCACCAGTTTCTCCCACCTCTGCCTCAGTAATTCTGTTCAAGTACTCAACTGTAGTCACCTAAACTGATGAGTTTCAACCAAAGCCAGGGCAGTTGACACTTTCAAATTACTATCACATCTACATATATGTAATGGTGCACCCACATGACACAAAATACTGTGTTATTTATTGCAGTCAAACAATGATTAATTCACACTTGAGAAAACCATTAGTGGAAGGTGTTTATGTCATCAGGATTTGTAGTGATTTCAGGACGTTTTCAAAATTTCATCAAGTTTTGATAAATTGAAATGGTCTGAAACCAAGCACTGGAACTTCTGAAGAAACTGAGAATGGCACTACAAACTGGCAAGGTGAGAACTTCAGTCACTCTGTGCTAAGTGAAGGACGTTAGTCTCACTCACCTGCTATCACGGTGTTAATACATTCATATAACAGCGACATGGCCGACGTGCTGAAAGTAACATGAATACCATCACAAATGAAACCTTGATAAAAGCACATCTGACTTTCTGCAGTTATTGCAGTGAGAAAGAGAGCTGATTCAGTGTGAGAAATTGCACATCTCATTTTTAATACACCCAGGGAAAATAAGGATTGGAATTTACAGAAAATCTACCTCATTGACTAATTAGAAACTATAAGTGCAAAGACTAATTGCCTGTGTATTATATTTACCTAACGATGATAATCTTGGGATAAAACCAACAACAAAATATGCACACACATTAAATAAATAATTAACATAATTAAAGGGCAATACCTTTCATGAAAGTTTTTTTAAAAAAAGTTGAAGCTATTCTGAGACATATAGTGTGACTGGTGTTTACACACATTGTGCATATGAACTTTCGACTAGTTGGATTTAACTGAAGCCAATTTCAGCTGAATATGCTAGTAGCAGAGTTCCAAGTGACAGTTTAATACCTATGAATCAAGTTGGTCAGAGGTTCGATCAGTTTCTTCCCAAGTCGAGGTTCAAGAGGTGTTAACGCACTGAACTGGAAAAAAAACACACACACAATATATTAACAGTTGAGTGGGGATATTCCCATCCTTTCATGAAACACACCCAATTTGGAAAGGAAGGCAAGGAAAGGAAAGGAAAGGCTATGATGTCTGCACAGCCCAGACAAAGTTGTAAGGTTATGTGATAACTTTGTGTGTAACATATTACTGCTGGTGAAGAGTAACAATAAAGTTTTTTGAACAATGGGTAATTGTGAATAGAAAGATAACATAAAAAGTATTCCAAATGGTCAGCAGAGCAAGGAATACAGTATGTCAGGCAATGTTGTGTGTTGTTGTGTGTTGATGTCAGCTGATGTCAGGGGGCACGGGACAACATACCAGTTTGATAATCTTGATGAGGACCCAGTTGTTGGTGGAGCTGGTCATCAGTTTAAAGAAGAGAGGAGCTAGAGACAGATAGTTCTTGGGGTTCTTCCTGGCCAGCTCACAGATGACATTGACCGCTGCAGACTGGACACCTGTAGAACAAAGTGGTCAACAGCTGATACTGTGCTACATGTGGACAGGCCTACAACACTCCAGCGTAACTTTATTAGTTGGTCTAATGCATGTTTGACATTATTAAACATCTTACAAAAGTGGCCATGAATATCCAATGAAGTCAGAGAGGAACACTTGTTTATGGATAGACAGCCTCTTTCATGCAATAAATGTGATGTTTCGGTGTGAGATCCTAACACCGTTATCAAGCAAATGATGGGTAACACTTAAAGAAGTCCAGTGAAGCTGTTCTGTGTATTTAGGCATTTAGGCGATTGAACACTGTCATTTTGTCACAAACCCATTTTCTTTGTCAAGTAAGAAAAATATTTACTATTAAAATAGACTGTCCTTCCAGATAAAGTTAATAATGAATTTTCAAATTATTTTAGTATTTCAAGGTATCCATTGCTCAAGACAAGTGGCACACCCAATCATGTCATTTAAAAACAGAGATAAGCAACAAGTCTTTGATATATAACAATCAATGTTCTAGTGAACACCACTAACCAGGGTCTGCGTCTTCTAGTTTCTCCTTCAGCCTGGGGAATGCAGGTCGGAGAGCCTCGGGAAACTGGAGGAATACTTTGTACATGATGAGTACTGCCTTCTTCCGCAGATACGGCCGAGATGATGTCATCTGCATACAAAACGTGTTTGTTAACATGGGTTGATCTCGTATGTGTAAAGTATTTCCTTACTGCACAAAAAGAGTACCGCCTTCTTCCGCAGATACGGCCGAGATGATGTCATCTGCATACAAAACGTGTTTGTTAACATGGGTTGATCTCATATGTGTAAAGTATTTCCTTACTGCACAAAAAATCAGATAAAATGTAAACAATGAGTACCACACAAGCAAGTAATCTGAAACATCAACTCAACGAATATTGCAGTTACAGAAACATAGGAGCTGGAGTGATTGACTGCTGTCTTGAGCTGCTCTCAGAAATACTCCCTGTATATCATGATAGCCTACATGAACCAACCAGACGAACCATCAGTTCGACGTCAAATAATGATTCATGTCACTAAGGTAAAATGATGCAAAATTGGACAAGTGAACCAGCCTCATGACCCAATCCTTGCCACATACGACAAGCATGAAATACCAGAAGTGCATTCCACACAGAACTTGCAGTGTTACAGAAATGGAGAGTCTACCTTATATTTTCACACTCAATGACCCAGGCCTCTACTCACATGAAACACTGCTAACACATGTACAGATTAACTATCTGATTAGCCAAACAAAAAGCCACAGAGGCAACAACTACATCTCACCAGTGTCATGATGTCATTAGCAAGATCCCTGGCCAAGTCTGCCGTGATGAAACATGACAGCCCGCTGAGAGCCACGCCAGCATCGTAAATGTTCTGACTGCTGAGATCCTGAATTAACAAGTCAACATTGCATGTCAACATCAGTTTGGGATGACAAAAAAGCAGAATGAACCTATACTTTACAAATACATACTGATGAAAAGTGAAACAAAATGAAATATGACCAAACAGATAATGGAATAATCTCCATAAGCATTTAGCTGGAAAGAAATCAGATTTACCTTTCTGATCATGTTCGTTGTCAACATGAGGACGTCCGTCTCATCATGAAAACACTGCGAAGCCGACAAATATCCAATCCGCTGATAAAAGAAGACAAACATGATGTTAAATTTCAAATTCAACACACAAAATCAACAGATTGAAAGTCCACAAAAATACTTCATTTATTAAATATGACAGGATCCTTTAAGTTTCACTCTCAAATTTAGAAAAGATAATCACAAAGAGTACTACATCCCAGGCAACCATGTTAGCATTGTCTTGACCATAGAAGCAAATCATACTGACTTTTATAGTGAACTTGGTTGAGCTCATGACCTCGATGATGTTGAAAGCAGCCCAACTGATGTCGTAGCCCAGCATCTGGAGCTGAAAAAATAATGCAACACATATTACCAGATTATATCGTCTTTGATAGAAGCTAAATCCATATGGTACCTACATGTGTCAAATCCATCTAAATATGTTCATCAGCAAATAACCATATTGTATGTGTTATGTAAAATAGCTACATTTGTGCATAACGACTGCGCCATATATTGAGACTTAACACTATCAGAAAAGTGCAGTATCAATTGCAGTAAGCTTTTTATCTCCATCAATACAACCAACAATAAGCAACATGATGAAACATGCTGCATCCACCTAACAGCAATGAAAGGAAAAGACAGCCGAGCAACATCACAAGAAAGTATGAAACAGTTAAGTTTACTTCGGATATGAAAGTAGATGATTCATACAAGATAAAAACCCATTTCCATCAAATATCTTAAACCAAATGCCTGCTTAATTTACATGGACAAAAAAATGTTTTATTGAAAGTTTTGGTGACATTATGTGTATAAAAACGCTGATCAATACCATGTCAAGAATATTTGTGAACAATAGTCACATTATACCGTCTACTTGACCCATGACTTGACTGACACGAACCATCAACCATGTTATATCATGGGCTTATGCTGCCCTTACTTTCTCCTACTGCTAGGGTTTGCTGAGGGATAGATGTTGTCACATCCCATGACACATCTGGTTATAGTAATGACTAGGTGATGACTTACATAGGTGAGTTTGTTGACGGCATTGGACTTGATGGCCAGATTTTCCTGCTTCAATTCCTGTTTGATCTCGTCGATGCATTCTGCTATGTACTTGGCCTGCAGCACAAAACAATAATTAAACATTGCATCAGTACATAAACTCACTCACGATTAGCTGATAATAATTCTAATACATGTAATCAAACACGAATTCACACTATTACGAAGCACTGAGATGTTATCAGACTCAGCAATTAATCATTTTAGCTGTACTTAACAAAACATTCAAACATTTGTTTTTAGCCATGGAGGGTTTCCTAAATCAGTGACAATTTGAAACCGTTCAAAACTGTACAATATTGATTCAAAATGCTTATAAAAGGATAAATTTATTGGATCTAATAATAGATTCACTGCTTCACGTTTTTAAACTGTCATCACCTGAATACGTTTGTCAATATCAAATTTCATATTAGATATGAAAAACAATAACTGAAGCGCCACAACACGGTTTGATAATTTTATTGATTTACTAAGCAGACAGGCTAATGGGGATCGTTACTTTGGGTTATCTTTCTACTTTCATGCAATTTACTCCTCTCAACCAATTAGGATCATGTTTTGGTCAAATGAAACCTAGAACTCAAATATATGACATTAAACCCAGTTTGTGATGGTAATATACTTTGCTGAAGAATCTGTCAACCTGTCAAAGAAATCTGACCAAGTGACACAAGCATTCTGACAATTGACTGAAATTTTCAGTTGTATCACAAAATATGAAACTGACTCACAAAGACACTGACTGCAACCTATTTATACAAAAAGAAAAGGTACTGACTGCATGAAAGACTGCATAAAAGACTGCATGAATTTCCTTCTTGTCAAACCCAGTTACTATTTATTAACTTCATCATGGTGTCATGGACATGGTTTACCACCCTCATGCTAATATCACAACGAAGCAATTCTGATACTAGTAAAACCATGATCAGTAGACTCTGGCACAAATCAGAATGCAAGTCATGTAGACATATGACTACACAAATTATCAAGAGGCAGTTTCATTCATCATTGCTACATGTCAGAACAATGTATGTCCCACTGCTTCATTCACTGGTCATCAAACAAATGTCAATTGCTCCAAATGGTCTCTTATCTCTATCATAACTATGATACTGGGGTGACCGTACAAATGCAAATGAATAGTACAACTACTACATAAGCATTGTCATCCCATCAATACTTTTAACACAGTGTCATTAATATTCATGACTTGTTATGCAGCATGAAAACACATACATAAACACACCTACACACTTTTTACTCTTATCATAAAATCAACATAACATCTACATTAGTATCATGAATAGTTATGAAGATTTCAGGTTATCTTCAACTTGCTGAAGTGGTATAACAGAAATGTTATGCCAATATTTGACTGTCCAGACTATGGTTCTGTTTTTTCTATATATCCTATCTGATAGAAACTTTCAGCAAATACTAGTAACCTACATGCAGACATGGGGATTGTATTGATAGATCTTATCTGTAGGTTGTTTATAAATGATCACAAAAATTCTTAAAAAAGTTGCTTTATGCAAAGGAAAGGTTAGAGCATACAGCTACTATAGTACTGTCGGAAATAGAAAAAAACTGTTTTTAGGCTCTTACTCTGTATCCCTAAAATTGACACAATTGCATATAGCATATGTCGAAATAACCCACTTCGGCCTAACTGGGCGTTCAGTGGGATGCGTAATACGATATCCAGAAAAGCATGTTAACTCGTAAAATCGGGCAAAACTTAGAAAAAATACGAATAGCTGCTGAAAACAATAGATCAGATGATAGATGGCAATTAGGTCGCTCAGCCAGGTATGACGACGGACCGTCGACTCACCTGGCATGAAATGCACGCGCTGCCTACAGGCACAAGGGGTCATCTCTCAAAGATATTTTGTGCTTTTTGTGTGTTGACTGTCTCATCTACTGATTAACATCTTACGGTGTCTTTCTTTCATAAAATTTATGTTGAGATATGTAAGAGAGTATGATGATCAAAACCATAGAAACGCGATCGTAGTATATAGGTGGCATGACCACCAATTAAGATCGACAGGACTGGATATTATTTGTAAATTGTTATGACGTGCCGTGTACCTCCCCAGCATAATTGCCCTAAAGGATTATCTTATCTTAGCTGATATCTCTATCCCCAAGCCCGACCCCAGGTTTTGCTTTTGAGGCGACCCCTCCTATCTGTTTCTTTTTATAGTGACAGTGAGACTGCATGGTAGCTACATCCTTAATAGTTACAGCATAAAAGTTATTATTTTTTACGTCTGCTATCGTTTATAATGAATCTACGTCTAATTTCAAATTGGGCATTTAAAAAGTGTCCCTCGTAATACAATATCGTCGCACACTAATTTGCATAAAGCCATGGTCTGTTCCAAATAAGTCTTTTTGGACCGCATTGCTCATTTCTGCACTAATTTCCCCTCAGTAAAGTCCCTTTTCTCCATTTCCTATCTCTCTACCACTGAGACTGAAGTTAGGCCGAACTCAGTTTAACAGATATTTCACACTTTCACATATCAACTACATAAATTGTAGAGATAAATGAGAAAATACAGGTTTTTTTCTATATCCGACAGTACTATAATAATAGCCATGATAGTTGGAGGCTTCGTTATGCACACTCATATTCAACATTCCTGATGCATGCCATATATCTGCATGGTGATCCAGTGATTTACACATTGATCATTGATCCACAAAAATGGGATATGACATTAAAATCCACCAAATCACTGAGCCTGACAAATGGACACAAACAGTCGCCTGTTAAGACAAGCGTGGGTTTGGTGTAACACAACACTGAACACAAAGGATAACTTGTACAAAATGAAAAGGTAACACTTGTCTTAAAAATGACACGCTTTCGAAAAAAACATCACTGACCACTGACACAGTACATGGTAAAAGACAAAAGAAACAATATTTTACAGATTTATGATACTTTTGATGATCACAACAAACAGAATGGGTGAAAAATGCAAAGTAAATAAAATAAGACATTTTCCTCTGATGCTGAGTCTGGAGATATACATTTTATCTGTGCACATTTTCTCTCATGGTGTCTTTTTCTTGGTATTCTTTAATTGCTATCAAAGCCCACCCATATTTTTGTTAAGACAATAGTAGTTCATAGAGGCCATATACATCACCTTATTTATCAAACTTCATAATAACATGTATCTAACCCATAACCTGCACATGCCAATAAATACATGACAACATTAAGACATGAGGCTAATGTAACATTTGAAAAACAAATTATCATTCCAAATGGTAACAAACATTATGATTGATTTCCATTATAATACTATGGTCCGTCTTTATTGTAAACAATTACAACTGAAGTAAACAATGATCAAGGAGACAATAGCTCATCAGACTAAATCAAAGAGACCCTTAGACTCTTTATCTGAAACCCAAGATAACACTTCATGACAAACGTAAATATTTTGCAGCAGAACTATACTGGGCATATTATCTCATTCAAGTTATATTGTAATGTGACATTTAAGGGAATTATATGACCTGTCATACAAACACAAATATAAAAACAACACAACCCCTGTGAAAAGGCATGTGATCAACCCTGTTATTGCAACACCCTTCATGTGATAGCCAGGCTGCCTGGTGATTATTTCAAAATTGATGTATAATTCATATATGACATCATGCAACAAATAATTTATGATAACAAAAATACAATAAGTTTTCAAATCAAATACACCATGAGAACTGGAAATACGGACTAACAATGTTTATTGGTACACGGTGTATCGCTTGTTCCTCCCACTTATCTAAATTACACTGATTATGAAGGGTTCCACATCGGCAGTTTACCGGCTACCGGCTTCTGCGCAGATCAAGCGAAGACAGAACTAACGTCTCTCAGATAACTAACAAAAATTATCAATACATCTATCCTGATTTACATCTAATATCCAATAAGTAACACTGACATAGGACACATCAGGTGACATGACATATTGTGGCAAGCGAAACCTGCCCACCTCATTTTCCTTGTGATTTCTTATGCCTCGTACAAGATCTTGCAAATTCTTGTCCAGGACCCGTTCTAGGGTCCCTTTCACCTTTTTGAGCGCCATCTTAAATTAGATTCGATGTGACCAAATCCTCATCTTGCTCAAGAATGTCACTGATTTATAAGTATCCATCCCTGATTAGGATGCATCGGCGATAAAGTCGACAGTCTCATCCAACATGGCTTCCGCTTTCAGAGATCACATGACCCCGTGACGCGTACACAAAGTATAGTGCCATCTACGTTGATTACAGGGAGGACAACTCCAAGAAAACCAGCAAATCTGAGACTAATGACGCTAGTGGAAGTTGATGCTTTAGTTGTTAATTCACTTTTCACACTCTACAGCCACAATGTCGTCAATTAAACTGTGTCCCTGATATGACTGCTAATGTTACGATTTAATATTTTTATTTTCGACAAGTAATTAAGCATAAGTGGTACGTATTCTTGTTCCTGCTAACGATGAATCAACGTCTTTTGGCTCATACCAGTTTTGTTTTGTCAGATCGCCTCTCCTAATCATACCAAATATTACCCAAGCCAGCCTGTCCCACAATGACCTCGGTGCATTCGAGCGTTGGGACATGTCAAATGGAAGCTGGATCTGCCTGAATGAATTTTGAATGACAGTTTGTTGCAAGCAGAAAGAAACGAGGTTCGCTGCGTTCGAGTTCATATTGTTAGAGTTTGTTTGTTGTTTGCTCAGCAATATGCCAGCTATATGACTGCGGTCTGTAAATAATCGATTATAGGCCAGACAATCCAGTGATCAACGACATGAGCATATGCAATTACGATACGATGAGTTGTGTCAACCAAGTCAGGAAACCCAACTGGGTGCCGTTCCACTAACCGATCTTAGCCCTACGCCAATCGTTAACCCCTAAAATCCCAATCTTAGCGTGACGTTACGATCGGCATACCGTTCCACTAACCAATCTTACCTAAGTCAATTGTAAAGTTAAGATTCAAAGTCTAAGTTAATCATGACCAACTTAGGATAGCTAAAATCAATCGTAGAGAAACCAAAATGGTGGCTTTCCTATTCTATGTGAAAAATAAGAGCGAGCATTTCACCGTGAGCGTCCCCTAAAATCCCCCATGAAATGAATTTGTATATTTCTGTGATGTAAACAAACACTGCACTGAAACCTTACAAATGTCAGGCCAGTCTGACCACTGTCGTCATGGGAACACAGCCGAGCGAGTCGGTGTAACACATTTGTACAACAATATTGCAAAGTCATGGTTAAGAATAGGGACAGCCGTGAAGTGAACAATGTTCTGAAACAAAAAGATACGAATATGTTTGATTTCACGTGCGCTTATAGAGGATGCCTCCTCACGCCTTGTTTATTCTGATTGACAAGGTTCAGGCACATATTAAAAGCTCTGACGCAATTGACATTTTTAAAGTCCAGACTTAAAACCTGTTCTCAGTATATTACTTATAATCTCGGCTGTAAATACTCTCGGCTGTAAATACTCTCGTGTAAATTATCTGTACATAGCGCTTTGAGCATGCTCCAGGATGTGGAATAGGCGCACTATAAATATGCATTTATTATTATTATATTATGCCTGATACCCAGCGTTCACACGCACATGCACCTGAAACCAAGGTGCTCACTACCCTAATATTTTGCTCTAGTATTTTTCTCCACGTTTACACTTGGTTGGAAAAATACCCATGAAGGCCCGGGTTAGAATATTGAACTTCAATAACCCATGCTTGTCGTAAGAGGCCACTAACGGGATCGGGTGGTCAGGCTCGCTGACTTGGTTGACACATGTCATCGGTTCCCAACTGCGCAGATTGATGCTCATGCTGTTGATCACTGGATTGTCTGGTCCAGACTCGATTTGCTAAGATACATAGCGTTCACTAACATGAACGCTCATGTTAGTGAACGCTATGCATCTTAGCTAGATTATTTACAGACCGCCGCCATATAGCTGGACTATTGCTGAGTGCGGCGTAAATCTAAACTCACTCACTCACTGAGTTGGTTCGTAAACTACTTCCATCATTTGCTAGACTATGCAAAGGGAGATAACTCGTGCCTCGCATTCCTCTATCTCTCGCACGAAAGAGTCTCGATCTAAGCTTGAATCGGATCGTAAGATCGGGACCGGCTACGATCGGCCTAAGATCGGGTAGTGGAACGGGTGTAACTTTTAGCTAAGACGATTGTAAAATTGGCGTAACTTGCTAACGGGGGGGCCACCGTTGTTCAGGATTTAGGATTTCAGTCACTGGCTTGGATGGCTCAGGTTCGATTCTTTATAATCCACCATGATATTATAACAGGTCCTTGTCACCATTGGTGTAAATTAAACAACATTCACTTTATTGTTGGCGTTCCCCTGTGTGATGTGACTGGAAGACCGCCAAAAGCGATTGAACACCCTAATCACTCACTCACTCACTCACTCCCCCACTCACTCACTCCAGGCATTGTTTCTGGCTCGGTGTTACAATAAACCGTGAGTAATTACATATGCAAGCACCAATCGAACACATCTGTCACACATACAAACGTTCTACAGTAATTAATGCTTAGGGATGTCGAATGCAGTACTTGTTCTGTTTTTATTTACGAATTTGAAATTATCATGAATATTTCTGGATGTATGATAATGCATATTTGATACTGTGGCGTGTAGTGGCAAGTTCATAACAATTACGTAGAGATAGGTGGCGGAGGGTAGGAAGGGGATCGAGTTGGATAAATAGCCTGTCGTTCCATGTGGGAAAGCCTTGTCTCAAATACAGATGCAAGTTTACATCTTACAAAGCTAAGACGCAACACTAGCATTGATCTGACGGTCGCAGTGCCTAGAACAACACTGATGGATAAAACGAGATTTCTGCCATTCACCCTACGTCCATACAGAAACGTATTTGTAAAATGAGATTCTATATCCGCCCACAATGTTCGGAGAATCGTTTTAATGATGTATAATCCATACACCAGAATCTGACATATGAAGATGACTGTTCTACTAGGTGAACATGACCAGATGTCGCCAACGAACGTCAACAATTAACATATTCATAGCCATCCAGCATCTCTGTATCAGAGGTAGGAGATGTATCTGTCGTGAAGCGGCCTCTCTCATTTTCAGAAAACTGTTCACGCATTGCTATATGTTAAATGGCGACATCTGGACGCACGACATGAAAATGCTTCTTTTTGGAATTAGTGATAATTCATTATCAGCACTGGATGCCATACATTTTCTCATTCATATTGGGCACAGTGCCCATTATTCCCATGTTGGCCCAAATGGGAGATTTCGTATAGATTGCTCATGTTCCTGTTGAACATAAATGGATGGTTCCTTTCGCTGCATTCCATTGAGTGAGTAGGCCTGTGGCCAGCCTTTATAAAGTAGAAGTAATGCATCAATATCACAGCCGCAGTGGCATTCTCGATGTATCAACAGGGCCGGACCCTTGATACCAGGATGGCGCCTCTCCCCGGGAGAAATGACCCCGACCCATGCACAGTGTCTCATAGTGTGTTGTATTCACGGGAGTTAGGATGTTTGCTTATGCCAGCGAAATATTGCTGCATCAAATGGATTCTTTGTGCCAGTATCTTATTGCTGAATACAAGGGGATTCTTTGTGTGGCGGCGTCACATTGCTGCATGCTAGGGGATTCCTTGTGTGGCAGCGTCATATTGCTGCATGCTAAGGGATTCCTTGTGTGGCAGCGTCATATTGTTGCATGCAAGGGATTCCTTGTGTGTATATTGCTGCATACAAGCAGCATTGCTGCATTGCCTTGTGTGGCAGCGTCACTATTGCCATTAGTCATATTGCTGCATGCTAGGGGATTCCTTGTGTGGCAGTGTCATATTGCTGCATACAAGGGAGATTCCTTGTGTGGCAGTGTCATATTGCTGCATGCTAGGGGATTCCTTGTGTGGCAGCGTCATATTGCTGCATGCAAGGGAGATTTCTTGTGTGGCAGTGTCATATTGCTGCATGCAAGGGGATTTCTTGTGTGGCAGTGTCATATTGCTGCATGCTAAGGGGATTCCTTGTGTGGCAGTGTCATATTGCTGCATGCTAGGGGAGCTGCATACTAGGAGATTCCTTGTGTGGCAGCGTCATATTGCTGCATGCAAGGGGATTTCTTGTGTGGCAGTGTCATATTGCTTGCATGCAAGGGGATTCCTTGTGTGGCAGCGTCATATTGCTGCTGCATGCTAGGGATTCCTTGTGTGGCAGCGTCATACTACTGCATACAAGGAGATTCCTTGTGTGGCAGTGTCATATTGCTGCATGCTAGGGGATTCCTTGTGTGGCAGTGTCATATTGCTGCATGCTAGGATTCCTTGAGTTCATATTGCTTGCAAGGAGATTTCTTGTGTGTAGTGTCATATTGCTGCATGCAAGGAGATTCCTTGTGTGGCAGTGTCATATTGCTGCATGCTCAGGGCTAAGGGGATTCCTTGTGTCAGTGTCATATTGCTGCATCATATTGTCATATTGCTGCATGCAAGGAGATTTCTTGTGTGTGTGTCATATTGCTGCAGCTAGGAGATTCATGTGTCAGTGTCATGCTGCATGCAAGGAGATTTCTTGTGTGGTCAGCTGCATCATATTGCTGCATGCAAGGAGATTTCTTGTGTGACAGTGTCATATTGCTGCATGCTAGGGGATTCCTTGTGTGTCAGATTTCTTGCAAGTGTGTCAGTGTCATATTGCTGCATGCTAGGGATTTCTTGTGTGGCAGTTTCTTTTCATATTTGCTGCATGCAAGGAGATTTCTTGTGTGGCAGTGTCATATTGCTGCATGCAAGGGATTTCTTGTGTGGCAGCAGTCATATTGCTGCATGCATATTCATATTGCTGCATGCAAGGAGATTTCTTGTGTGTCAGGTCAGTTGTCATATTTCTTGCTGCATGTCATATTGCTGCATGCTAGGAGATTTCCTTGTGTGGCAGTGTCATATTGCTGCATGCTAGGGATTTCTTGTGTGGCAGTGTCATATTGCTGCATGCAAGGAGATTTCTTGTGTGGCAGTGTCATATTGCTGCATGCTAGGGATTCCTTGTGTGGCAGCGTCATATTGCTGCATGCTAGGAGATTCCTTGTGTGACAGTGTCATATTACTGCATGCTATGGGATTCCTTGTGTGACAGTGTCATATTGCTGCATGCTATGGGATTCCTTGTGTGGCAGC